CGGCTGAAACCTGGATCCGAACCACAGGCTCTCGGGATTATCCAGCCCGGCGCTCGGACCCTCCGTGTCACCCGAACGCTCTCAGGCCACGAATCCTTCAAATGGCCCATGTCCTCGGCTCGCTCTACATTTTCCCATCGTGCCGTTGGCGCTGCCGTCCCACCGGAATAAAAAAGCGCCTCCTGTCGATGCGGTCCTGCCTGGTCACGTATCCGTGCCCCCCACCCCTCGTCGATCGCGATCTGCTCGTCCGTCTGCCCCCGCGCCTCGAAGGTTACCACGATCGCGATGTAGTTCCGGACCAAACGTGGAGGACGATTCGCGAGTTGGTTTGGTTGTTGTTTTTGTTGTCGATTTTTTTTGTCGTGAGCCGAATACGCGCTTTGTCATTTCACCAGACCCAGTGTTTATCGGACTCAAAGTCCTTCTAACCTGCCACACTTCGTCCTTCCGAGTTTACTTTGTCGTTGCACGCAGCACGTGCCTGATGATTGCTAAACACGTCCCAACGTGCACACACATACACACCAGGTCCCCATCTGAATTTCAATCGGTGCTCTCCATATCACCTGGGACATGGACGCACGCACAAACATACAGTCTCTGTACACGCTTACACAAGCGCACGTACGCCCACCAGCACACACGTGCACACACACACGTAGGCACACATGCACAAAGACAAAGATCCCCCGTATAGCCTTAACAGACTGCAGAATCAACACGTACACACGCTGAAATCTCGCCTCGGAATTACTACTTGGACACGTACACACAAGATCGACCGACTGCTGACGAATGCTACAGTTCGGCAATCATCAGGCGTGTGCACGAGTGTGATGGCTTCGTTTATATTTGAAAGGGGGGGGGGGGGTGGTAGTGAATTGGTCATCATCGGAGAGGCAACCCCGAGGTTGCTCGCGATGAAAGGCGGCTGGGAAACGCAGAACGTACCGTGATTGTGTTGCACAATCAGCGCAGGAAACGAGCTAGCGCACTGACTGCGGTGGTTCTGTGCACGCAGCACTGGCGTGACGCGCCTCTTCCCGTACCTTGATTCCTGCGTAATTGCATACGAATGCGACGTTTGTCCACAACGTGGTATTCAAGTATAGATCGTCCGTTCTTTGCTATCGTCGCCGTTGTCAAACACTGCCTTTTGATAGCTTACCAAATGCGTCGAAGCAAATTATTTGGCAATAGCCCGTCTTCGGATCAATAACCTTTTTTACGTAAAATAACCAAATACTTATCTTAATTACCCCCGGAAGGCCTCGTTTAAGTCCCAAGGCACTAATTGGCTGTGGCAACTGGGCACGTGATGTCCACTCCCATCAGCACATGCGATCGGGAAAATTATCGGTGATGAGTTAAAAAAACTCAATTGTAAACTTTTTTTTTTAATTCAAACCAGGTAAGGCCCACTGAGCTTATAAAGATATTTATTTTTCCCAGAAGCGACCCGACTAAAAATGATAGCTCAAGGAAGCGGGCTCAACGCCACGTGGAAATTTATGGCAGCCAAAATACTCTCAACGCGTGTTTCCAAAGGTGGAGGAAAAACCAGAGGCAACGGAGAAAATTCCACGCGGCCAAACAAACAGCGGCAGGTGTCAGGGTCGGAATCGAACCCACGACCTCCTGTATACCAGGCGAGGTAGTTAACATCTCCTAGCCACCCTGAGCAAGTCGTAGTAGTAGCAGTGGACTCGGAAGCACGTCAATTCCCGACGACATTTGGTGCGTACGCTCTTATCTTGTCATGCAGCAGGGTTTGCTGTCATAACCGTGCGAAAATATTTGTTGACCTGTGCTTTTCATTCCACAGCAACACACACGCAATTGACAGTGATGATATGCTGTATGTTTTAATATACACGTACAGATGCTGCAAGTGTATTGTGGTAGGCACATGCATTTCGATTGCCTATGCATTTCCCATTGGCTGGTGATGCATTGCCGACGGTGCGTGTGCTGTGACAAACGTGTAAAGGTGAAAACTGAATGGGCGGCGGCAGGGACGCTGGGCTTGGCTGCATTGAAGGCAGACTCGTCACCGTATTCTCCGAGGCGCTGGCTGCGGTGTGTAAAGACGCACTCCAAATCCTTGTGCCCGGTGCCAGCAGGGTTGATCTCGGCTCTTGCGCGTGTCGACGGATTGTTCTGACGGCACGCTCTTGGAATATTGCGAGCGAGAGTCGAACGCGTCAGATTCTCGCTTTGCTCGATTCGATGCGTGCCTGTGTCGCGAGAATAATCTACGCACGAGCGTGAGAGACGAGTTCGATCGATGATTTGACGAATCGTTTTACCTGCCAAGGAATCTGCGTTCAAACCATTTTGGACCCATGAACGTGATCGCTTTAAGTGACCCCCCCCCCCCCCCCCCCAGTGGTGGTGAGCCGCGATGCCCACACCCTGCCTATTCAGTGCGCTCTGCGCTGCGGGACTGCGATGATCCCTCTCCCATGAGCTTTCGGGTCGCACCGTGCGTCGATTCGCAACGATGTCCGACGTTTTGCTCCACACGCGCCGCTCGGAGAGCGTCTTCAGTTCCGGACGAAGGCGCTCCCACGAGCCGCACGTGCGGAGCGAGCCGTCGGGGCATTGCCGCTTCCGAACAACGCCTTGGCACGACCCCGAAAGCTCGTGGGAGAATTGCGCGGCAGAGCCGCGGAAGCCTACGCTGTGGTTGACCGCTGACCATCTCAACATCTGCCTACCCCTACCCCTGTCCCCGCTCCCTTCCATCCGCCTCTGCAACCGCGACCATTGCTGCTCCACCGTTGTCGCTCGCCCGCTCGCAATGCCACTCCCCTGCCCGCTCGCTCGATTCATCGCCCGACCGCTCCCCCGCTCGCTCTCATCGCGCCGCCGTCCGTTCTGCACGACAGTGGCCCAGGAATTGGCGCGCGGCTAAGTGGCGCCGCGCGCACCACAAGGTAAGCGCTCACACGACAACAATAACAACAATAACAACAAACACCGGTTTGGATTGACTGCATGATCTCACGCGCGGGCACGCGCGCAGGTTGCGGCGCTGTGTAACTCGTCCGATGTGCGATGAGCTTGAAGGCGAACGATGAGTGTTGAGAGGACGTTTGTTCACGTTAGCATTGCGGATGGACAGCGTCTCCACACAGTCACAATCTGCTAAGAAAAACCTATCGCAACGCTACAAAACTAGGGGGGGGGGGGGGTTGCTGAGCTCGACTCCCGGCTATGGCTACCGTCAGTGGCAAGTGATTGCCGAACCGGTTCTGGGCGTCCCCAAGGTTGACTCGCCCTTAAGTGAGCACCTGGTGTCGTACCGAAGCGTCGGCACTAGGGAAGCAGTGGCACGTCACGTGCCGTGTCGACCTTAGCAGAGGTGCTCGCCAACAACCCCTGAAGTCTGAAAGGCCACACAGGCGATCGTTGTTTTGTGGATGTGACACCCACCTACTGGCCAGGCGTGCACACAAGGGGCAGTACAGCGACGAGGTTTGTGAGGCATGCATAGAGCGTATGCAATGACAAACATCTGGAGGACGCACATGGCTAGTTATAATAATAATGATGATGACGATGATGCCCTGTATTTACCCAGGAAAGCCCCATCGAGTGACAGGAAGCATGTTCCGGAGGGTTCTGATCCATTGGGAGACGTTCCGTCCAACCGCATTCACGATCCTTTTTGCTTCACGTGGAAGGAACGCCGAGTTATTCGGAGGATGAAGAAGAAGAAGAAACAACCCCCGCGCACGAGGGGACAAGACTCAAAGATGCGCGCGGATCGAATCCCACAATTGATTTTACCCGACCGCCGCCACCTCCCGCTGGCTACCTGCTCGCAGGCCCACCCACCCTCGCCTCCAAATCTCTGCGAGATCCACCAACCCTTGCCCCCGAAGCGCCGCGTCGCAGCGTCGCACGAGCACCACCACCACCACCACCAAGCCCGGCGAGGGTTGGGGCTTGACGAAGAACAAACTTGATGTGTAGCCCCCCACCCACACCTTCTCCGGCATCCTGACAGAGATCGGCGGCTCGCGCAAAGCCGCGCTCGGCGCATCGCTCGGAGGCTGCACGCGGCACGATAAATCCCACCGAGGGGTGCAGTTTATCCCACCAAATTGACGATATATTCATTACATCGGATCGCGGTTTCAACGAGTCAAAAATAGAGGGCTCATTAGGCCTGTTCAGCGACAGTCCCCCCCCCCCCATCTCCCCCGGCCAATGCCAAGCGCGGCACGGGGTTCGCTAACCGCGCTGGGTTGGCCTGCCGTCGCAAATAGAGACGTCGCATGACTACGGAAGGCCCGGTGCCAGGGCTGCGTCTTCCTCGGGTGTTCTATCCCCACACCGCTTGAAGCCCCGTTTAATCTACGGGCGTCGGTGGCGTTTGCTCCCAGTTCGTGCGCTATGCGAAATTCTCGCCCCCCCCCCCCCTCTCTCTCCCCTAACGTCCCGTGAGTGCACAAGAGGACATCGAGCCAAAATGTAATGGATCATCATCGGGCCCGATTATAATCAGCCACGCAAGGCTCTATATTGGACACGTGTGAATTATGTGTGGTATGCTTTAATGTGCGGGGTGTCGGTGGGGGGGGGGGGGGTGAGCAGCATGCTGGCGCAGTGGTTAGTTAGCGTGCCACACTATAAACCTTGGCGACCCTGAGTTCGATTCCCGGCCATGGCTGAGAGCAGTGGCGAGCGATATCTGAACCGGTTCTGCGCCTTCCCCGTGGGTCGACTCAACCTTAAAGGAGTATCTGGTACAGTCGCGTAAGCATGAGCACTGCGGAGACAAAGGCGGAAAGACGTGGCGCTGGCTGCACCGTGCCGGCCTTCATAGGTGCCACCCAGCCACCTCAATATGGCCCAAGTCCGTTTCACCGTCTACAGTGCCACGGTCTGGTCTAACGTTTTGCCTTTGCACTGCATCCTTCTGTTTGTCCGTCTGTCCCTTCGTTGTTCCACCCCTCCGTTTGTCCGTCCGCCCCTCTGCCTCGTAGGCACGCCCAGCCTGCTCTCCCTCATGCTGCTGGGGATGCCGATCACCTACGGCGACCTCGACGATGACATCTTGACCGTGGAGTTGACCGCCAAGCTGGGAGTCTGACGGGGGCAGATCCACCCACGACGATCCTGCACCGCACAGCAAGAAAACCGCAACACACAGCCATGGGCAGCTGCCAGTTATGAATGCCGACTTAACTTTTTTTTTTATTTTACCCCAAAACCCCTGTTTTAATTCGACACGCCCTAATTGATGCGTGCAGATTTCCATTATCTATTCGCCTGAACGTTTGCACGGATAAGGGGAGTCAAATCGGAAGTGGCATCAACATGCATCCATTCATCCGAGCCTTTGCATGGATGATTATCCCAGATCTGTCCCCTGGAATAAATGAATCCTTCCTGTCTTTGCCTAAATGGGGAGGGGGGCATAAAAAGGAGCAATCTTCCCCTCGGAGCCCCCCCCCCCCCCACACATTAAAGTGGATTAGAGAAGGGTCAACACTTAGGACAGTGGTGTTTGTTATTATTCATGAATGCGTTTAAACTCAATGTTAATGGCACTACCTAAAACCGTTGATGTACTCGGAGAGTACCTGATTGGCTTTCAACTGCTGGATGAAGACCTTCACATTTTCCCCAAAAGCATTCCATCCTGCACAAGGATGAGCCGGAGATGATTTTGGAAAAGTGAATTTTGGTGATGCGGTGAATTTGATGATGCGGTGCGGAGGCTGTATTACCTAGTCACGCTGCACTTATTGCCTTTATAGGACACACGCACACGTTTTCTTGAGACTCCTGTTTTGCTCAGATGCATGAGGAGGAGCTGGATGGCACCCACTATGCATGTTGACGCACGGTATTGAACGTGGCACCCTCAAATTGTATTTATTTTATTTTAGATATTTTTTCTTCTTTCTGGTAACAAGGTTGAGCACGAGATGGAAAGGGAAGGACTGGGTCACACAGCACAGTCAATAGATCACGAAATAGAATAGGTCTTGCATGTTTATGACTGCACGCTTAGCAAATTAAGTAAATATAATGTCGTTAAACCCGCCACCACCAAACCCACAACATTTTGCGGGTTTGGTCAAGTCCGTTTCACCGTTTACAGTGCCACATTTTGTGGATTACTCTCCAACACACCGGTGCGCTGAACTCGTAACTAATTGGCATGTTTTGTTTACGTGACAAACTTTACTAATTGGCTGTGTCAGGTGGTGGCGGGTTTAACGACACATTCATATTTACGCGATCTAACAAAAAAACATTATGGATAGCAGAGATTTGTAGAACTCTTCCTCTATTTGGTTTTTATTCTAAGATATTTTCAGCCAAGTTACGAGTAATCCATATAAATGTAAATTTTCAACGTTGCATATCGCGCTTGCTGGGGGACTACGGTATAGACGGATATGCGAATAAGGTCGTATAAGTGAACATGTCTTGAAAATGACTGCTCGACCACGGAGTACCAACGCCGCACTGAGTGTGGTCCGGTTAATTGGTCGGGGAGGATCTGTGACGCTTAGGTATGCGACTTGAATTACATGCGGCCCTCTAACGTCAACTTTAACAACACATATTTCACACGAAACATGTTGCTGCCAGTGTCACTCTCACTGGAATCCGAAGAGTAATGAATAGGATTAAAAACCACTCGGTTCGAGGAACTCGCCGACTTGCAACTCCACCACGTGATCCTCCGTCGCGGATGTTTTCCCCTCGCTGTCACCGCGCGTCATTGGATGGGATTTGTCACGCGTGGCTTATTTTCGAATTATGTTATATTCACTGTGTCCCAAAATGCATTTATTCAGTGGGGGGGCGGGGGGGGGGCGGACAACTACGTTAAGGCACGTACAGGTATGTTTTTTTGTTTAATCCTGGTCGCTCATATGATATTAGTTCTTTTTGGGTAGGCCATAAACCAGTGTTTGTCCGCCCTATCAATATGTCTGCACTATGTAATTCAAATAAGGGGCACTTTCTCACGTACAAAAACAAACCACAGCGAATAGGAAAACCCCCGTAACTGTGTGTGATGCAGGCTGTTACTGCAGTGCGCGCGCATTTATGAGAGCAAAAGCGACAAAGTGCGGCCAACTCAAGGCTCGTGGCTAGACGGTGTGCCTCGTCTGGGATGAGGATTGCCTGGCGCTTGGAAGTTTCATTCGTCCGATGCTACGTGATACACAACGGCAATAAACGTATTTAAAACACGTAAACTCGAATGGAGATGGTTGTCCATGGCATGATTTGCCACGTGAGTATCTTGCGTGTGAGAGTTGTGAATAATTCTCGTGCGGTGTCTCTGTGGTTGGCGCACTGAGCCGCGGACCGTGCGACCCAAGTCCGATTCGCACTCACTACCAATAACAGTGATGGCGAATATCCGAACAGCTCCTGGGCCTCCCCTAACTAAATGAGTACTGTAGCTGGTGCTGTGTGTGTAAACGTCAGCACCGGGGGAGAAAAAGGCGGCCAGGCATGGAATTGGCCACCCACTCATATGCGCCGTGCCGGCCTCCGTAAGCGTTCACTTTACGGAAATTGCCCCATGACTTTGTTTAAGGCTGTACAGGGTGATCTTGTCTTTGTATGTTTAGCAGTGTGGGTCAGCATTTGCGTGATTAGATCTGCCAAAAAATTGGTTGGGCGCGAGAAGTCACTCCGGCCCTCCACACCAACCAGGACTGAACAACGTGGTGGCCGGTAGGGCGTGTAGAAGCCTCATCCAACGGTGGATTGACAGATGGCTGTATAAAGTCGCCTCTGTAAGGCCGGTCCAGACCGTTAACACTGCCCAGTGCTTTCGCCTTTGCTGCTTGTTGCAGAGGCTCACGGTTCAACCCCATCGGCCGCCCTCATTATTACCGCGGGTTATATTAAGCCGCATGTTACGTTATGTTGAACGTAGCCAATCGGAGTTGCGAAATGAACGTCTGCTTCATCCGAATGCCCCAGGTCACACGTGCAAATGAGACCATCCTGGGTCTCTTGAGTTCTCACTGGACGTTAGACAAAATAAATCTTATCCATCATAGAGGTTTTTGAGTAAAAAAAAATCAACCTTCAACTCGTCCACGGAAAGCAGGGCATTAGCAGCTAAAACTTGAGTTCTCACTGGGCGCTGGACAAAATAAAGTTTATCCATCATAGATGTTTTTGAGTAAAAAACAGGTCCCTGCAGGGTGGGCTGGTAGGACAAGTCTCTGCGCTGTCTATTGCTGATTTTACACCCAACAGCACGAGATTTCACTTCGTTAAAGTATTGAAAGGGGGCGGACGGACGGACACATTAATCTATTGCAGGCTGGTACACTCAGTTTACAACTTCGTTCCTACCAGTAAAAAAATCAACCTTCAACTCGTCCACGGAAAGCAGGACATTAGCAGCTAAAACTTGCCATCTGCTGGATGGATTGGGGATCTCCAATTTGTCTCGGCCCATGAGAATGCATCGCAAAAGTCAAGACTTGAGGTCATCACAACCGGTGTTGTTGATATACTACCGCCTCTCAGCTGAATCCTGTCGTCGTTGCTGAAGTTGGCATGGTATTAAAGTGAAAAAAAAAAACTATCGAAAGTACTTCCTTTTTCCACATCTGAATTACACTGAAAGACGGAAAAAATGTCACACGCGGATCAGGTGCGCTAGGCGATATGGTTACGAATCCGAGCGGAGTGGCAGTAAAGTTGAGAGATGGAGCGATGAAATGGGTCCGTGTGCAGGTGCGGAGCGCATTACTACGCCGCAGCATCGCGAGGGGTAGCCGCGGCCTTTATCCAGCAGTGGATTGACCGTGGCTGATGATGACGAAACCAATTGGTCCGGAATCACCTGCAGATGTTTGTCGTACTCCACGGACCTTTGTTGATCTGCTGTCGATGGTGAGGTTGGGTGGGGGGTGCGGTGGGGCACCCCCCGCGTTATTTTACTTCGCTGGGCATTGCTGCAGATTGGCATCTGACGTCTAGTGCCTGATTAAGCTAGAGCAGGGCCTTAGCGGATGTTATAATGGGGACCTAAATAAAATAAATAAATAAATATTAAAACACATACATTTTTACTTGAATAGTACAGTAATTGTATTTTTTCATTTGCTATACAGCCAGATAATACGACAAATCGCTAACCTTAAACACCCAGTCGTTCATAAAGTTTGAAGGGCAGTATAGTACTATAGTCATAGAGTAAGTGCAGCGTCACTGAACCGCAATTGATAGCGTGAAAGCATTTCGCGCGGGGCCCTTGAAAGTGTGGGTCCCGTAGCTACTACATATGTAGCTACTTTTGCTACTATAGGATAATCCGGCACTGATGACGAATACGTGATTTGCTTTTGACAGCAACAACAGGCTTCACGGTATGACAGCGGACTGGAGACCCAACAGCTGTTGGAGGTGGGTGGTCTGTTTTTTTTCTCTTGTTACCAGATTCCGACACCCGAGAATACTTCATTACTGACACAGAAATAATATCGGCGGGCCCAGCACATTTCCCAAGATCGCGTTCAGCTTGGCCGTCCGTCCTCTTCACGTCCGCACAATTAAATTATCGCATTGGGAGCTCCAATTCATTACTGGGCGGCATTTTATGTCCCGTTCGCTGAACCCAAACGTCGAAGGGGTGGTGGAGGGGGGGGGGGTTGCGGGCAAATTATCGAGTTATCAAAGATGATGATGAAGATGGCGATGTTCCAGTACCGGGTTAAAATAAGATGGTAAGGCGAAGCGCCCGAACCTCGCTGAATATAAAATGAACCTTTTTGCAGATCGGTGGTGGCGAGAGACGGGTGAGAGGATCGTATCGAGTGTTGAGGCAACTTGCAAATAAGTGGGTAGATGATTAGTATAACTGCATCGACCGCGAACCAGAAGAGTTACGTAAATGCGGTGAAATTTTTTTTTCAACGCGAAACAATATATTTCATTTGCATAGTTTGAGCCCGACGGAATAGAGTGTTGTACGTAAAGTGTGTTACGTGTGTGTACTACAACTCTCTGTGTACACACATACACGCGTGGTACGGAACCCGCAAAACCAGCCAGGTGGGCTATAGCGACGCAGATGCAGGCGTCACCACTGAGTTGGGAGATTTTAAAAAATCATGCGGTGCGGGCGACATGGAACTCATGAAGCACGGCGCCGCGTCCGTTCATACAGCACCTGGAGACCCTTCACCTGGAGCCTAGAGACCCTTCACCTGGAGCCTAGAGACCCTTCACCTGGAGCCTAGAGACCCTTCACCTGGAGCCTAGAGACCCTTCACCCGGAGCCTAGAGACCCTTCACCTGGTGCCTAGAGACCCTTCACCTGGAGCCTAGAGATCCTTCACCTGGAGCCTAGAGACCCTTCACCTGGAGCCTAGAGACCCTTCACCTGGCGCCTAGAGACCCTTCACCTGGAGCCTGGAGACCCTTCACCTGGAGCCTAGAGACCCTTCACCTGGAGCCTAGAGACCCTTCACCTGGAGCCTAGAGACCCGTCACCTGGAGCCTAGAGACCCTTCACATGGAGCTTAGAGACCCTTCACCTGGTGCCTAGAGACCTTTTACCTGGAGCCTAGAGACCCTTCACCTGGAGCCTAGAGACCGTTCACCTGGAGCCGAGAGACCCATCACCTGGAGCCTAGAGACCTTTCACCTGGAGCCTAGAGACCCATCACATGGAGCCTAGAGACCCTTCACCTGGAGCCTAGAGACCCTTCACCTGGAGCCTAGAGACCCTGCACCTGGAGCCTAGAGACCCTTCACCTGGAGCCAAGAGACCCTTCACCTGGAGCCTAGAGACCCTTAACCTGGAGCCTCGAGACCCTTCACCTGGAACCTAGAGACCCTTCACCTGGAGCCTAGAGACCCTTCACCTGGAGCCTAGAGACCCTTCACCTGGAGCCTAGAGACCTTTCACCTGGACCCTGGAGACCCTTCACCTAGAGCCTAGAGACCCTTCAACTGGAGCCTAGAGACCCTTCACCTGGAGCCTAGAGACCCTTCACCTGGAGCCTAGAGACCCTTCACCTGGAGCCTGGAGACCCTTCACCTGGAGCCTAGAGACCCTTCACCTGGAGCCTAGAGACCCATCACCTGGAGCCTAGAGACCCTTCACATGGAGCCTAGAGACCCTTCACCTGGAGCCTAGAGACCCTTCACCTGAAGCCTAGAGACCCTTCACCTGGAGCCTAGAGACCCTTCACCTGGAACCTAGAGACCCTTCACCTGGAGCCTAGAGACCCTTCACCTGGAGCCTAGAGACCATTCACCTGGAGCCTAGAGACTCTTCACCTGGAGCCTTGAGACCCTTCACTTGGAGCCTAGAGACCCTTCACCTGGAGCCTAGAGACCCTTCACCTGGAGCCTAGAGACCCTTCACCTGGAGCCTAGAGACCCTTCACCGCGACGCCCAATCAGCCCATGGATAAATTGACAGTCACGGACGGGATGGATGCGGCTTAGCGCCCACTTCTTACCTCGCTGCCCTGGACAGAATTTAGAGTAAAGCAACACGGGGTGACTGATAAACCAGCCCCTTCGCTCGCTCACTCGCTCACTCACTGAAGCCCACTCCTCATCAATCACCCTTCTATCGCCACTTCCACGGTCGTTTACTGTCCCCGTGAACCTCACTCATTGATCCCTCTCGCCCTTGTCGAGGGACTCGTTCTACCAGACTCACTGTTCCACCTCCACACCGCAGGTGGAACCACGGACCGCGTGAGAACATCAACAAGGGCCGAAATGCAACATCCCCCTCATCAATGGGACTTTAAAGCACACGGCAACGGGAGAGGCAGCTCGGCTCCACGAACTCTCCCTTGTAGCGATATCGTGGCTAGCAAACCTCAGAATTGGGCATGTAACAAATTTAGCAACCATTGGAAAGATGTTATAAATCAAGTCAAACTTTAGCTGCCTTATAATTGTACAGCCATTTCTATCTCTCAGTGGGTTGTATGCCAAACTTTAGCTGCCTTATAATTGTACAGCCATTTCCATCTCTCAGTGGGTTGTATGCCAAACTTTAGCTGCCTTATAATTGTACAGCCATTTCCATTGCTTTCTAAAAAATGTGGCTGTACTAGCTTTCGTGCAGTGCGCCACCCCTCCCCCCCCGAACCCCCTGCAGTTTAACAAAAGGCGGCATAACTCAGCCCCCCCCCCCCCCTTAACCTGTATATAATCCCGGCTGTCACAGAGCTGTCCACTTGACCTAGATATTCTGCTGTGACTGTTCCACCTGAAGACGGAAGCTTGTGTTGCCTCCGAAACGTCGTGATTTAATTTAGTTTTTATTTTATTTTACTTTACCTACGTGACTTTACCGAAAAAAAAGCAAAGAGAATGTAACTGCAGTTCACAACAACACTAACCCTAACTCGCCGACATCACACACTTCTCATGCAGCGTCTTCCCACGCGCCGCTCCACTTTGGAATTCACTTTCCACCGCCCGTCTTCATTCCCAAGCTGTTACAATAAAAACCTTGGCCTGTTCAGGAAGCACGTGATCTCTTGATCGGGGTGCCACGGTGTTTGAGATGTTAACGACCTCGCCTGGTGTACAGGAGGTCGTGGCTTAGATCCAGACCCTGACGCCTGCTGCTGCTGCTGTATATCTGGAGTTTCTCTCTCTCTCTTCCCGTGATCGCGTGGATGTTTCTCTGGGTCCTCCGGTTTCTCCCTCCAAATCTAAAATCAACGTGTGTTTGGAGTATTTGACTGCTATAAATTCCCACTCGATGAGCCACTTCATTGAGCTACCATTTGTGGCCACGTCGCTTTGTAGAGCTCAGTGGGCCTTAAACATCAATCGTGGGAACTGCCTTGCCAAGATCAAAACAAGGTTTTACCCTTCCTGGCAATAAAACAGGCGTTAAGATGTTAAAACACCAAACCGAAATATTTTGCAAGGAATCGTGTCCGCACTAACCACATATACTTGTGGTGAACATGCAAAAAAAACACTCTGATAGTATATGATGCATCATTGTCTTTGAAGCAGATTGGGCCACAGCAGAGACAACTTTATTTAGAGCCTAGTCTCAAACAATGATATTATTATTGATAATAACGTATGATGCATTGTTTGAAACGTATTGGTCCATACCAGAGACAGCTTTCTTTAGAGCCTTAGTCTCAAATAATGGTATTAGGGATAATAATAGATCATGCATTGTCTTTTAAACTGATTGTTCCACACCAGAGACAACTTTATTTAGAGCCTAGTCTCAAACAATGACATTATTATTGATAATAATGTATGATGCATTGTTTGAAACGTATTGGTCCATACCAGAGACAGCTTTCTTTAGAGCCTTAGTCTCAAACAGTGTTAGACCAGAGGATTTATAATACTGGTCAGAGGATGTCAAAAGGCGAACAGCGCAAAGACAATGCCAACATCAGGACACTGAACCCTGAAAATGAAAAAAAAGAAAATCACTTTAATAATTAATTTGATGTTAACACCGCACGCTGTGGGATGGACGGGAATCGCCCCGCGTCTGGCAGGGAGCTCGGATCGTCGGCAGAGGGCGCGACCGAGGGATTTGTTGTTGGGTGCTTTTTTTTTGTTAAAACAATCCGCGCCACGTGACGTCTCACGCCACGACCACCGCCGCGTCCGTGCGAGTGAACTTCCTCGATCGACAAACTGACGGTGAAACGCTCACGAAATACAAACAAAACCCCACATGTTTGTGTGTGCTGTTGTTATTGTTGTTGTTGCTGCAATATCCTTGTCCTTGTCATTTTTCAGCGCCGTCGTTCATCCTTCGGCGGGGAGCTGCGGTGGCCGATGGAGACCGCCGCCGCCGCTTTAACCGCAGCGGTGAGTCAATGCCGAGACACCCTCCTTCCCCCCTCTAGCACCGCCTCGACCGGCGGGGTGAAGTATAGTCAACCCAAACCCTCGTGAGCCTTCCTCACCACACGGCGCGCGGTATAAGGCGGTGGCTGGGTGAGAGAGTGCGTGGGGGCGAGGTTTACTTCATCCAGCAGCGGATCGATCAAGTGCTGCAACCAATTCTAGATGTGAAGCTTTCGTGACTGCAAGGATCCATACTCTTTGGTTCTATTCGGTGAAGTCACGTACCAATTCTAAACAAAGCGTTGAGTGAGCGCAGCGGTGTTAAGCACACCGCCTTTAAAGACGCGCAACGTCGTCCTTAAGCCCACGCCGATTGCCTTGCACGCTGCGTTGTTGGTGGTGCACGGTGCTTTTGTTTTGTCAGGAATATTTTTTGCTGGTTTTTTTTCCCCATGGATTTTCTGTTTGCACACTCGCGTAGTCACTTGAAGATGTTTTTTTTCTTGTTCGCGGTTTTTGTTTTGTTCGTTTGTTGCGGTTACACCCGATTCAAGAGCCGAATGGCTCACAGGGCCATACCAAAATGAAGAAATTGAAAACTGAAAACTTGGGCTTGTGGCTGGAGGCCAGCGCGCGTTCTATGAACAACGTTGTTGGCACGAACTTCTACGCGTACCCGGTCAGTAAGTGTAAAGTTGGCTTCTGTGGGGCGGGGTGGTTGGCTGCGTCTTCCTCTCCCCGGAGCGTCTTGTAACTACCTGCTGCTGGATCACCTCTCTGTTTCAAAGAACAAATTTGACCTCGGGTCTTCGCTCATTTACCAGCTTCACATTCCCTATTGCCGTACAAAAACTGGAGGAAGGGCCTTTGCTATTGATGCCCCCAGGGTCTGGAATGCTATTGCCAATAAACTGCAACTTGAATCACTACCTTTGAGATCTTCGCTCAAAACTTCTCTAGAGGAGTTGTACACCCCTAGCTGCCACTGCTATTCAGTGGCCTAATATATGGCTCTAGATTTTGGTGTTATAATTTATTTATGTAGTTTATTGTAAAAAAATTGGTCACAGTCCCTATGATCACTGTTACATTGCATTTATGGCTTTTATTTTGGTGATTTCGAAAACGTTTTTTTTTGGCCATGTTTTTGTTTATTGTAGTACGGAGTTAGACTGATGGCCTTAATCTTAGTTGTCTTGTGGTTGTTGTTGTTATTTGACTTGCATCCCACTGGGATTTTTGCACACAGCGTTGGTGTACGGTGCTATTTCAGGAATATTTTGATGCTTTTTTCCTGGATTTTCTGTTTGCACAGTCACACATAGTCACTTTAAGATGTTTTCTTGTTCATGTTTTTGTTTGTTGCGGTTGCACCCGATTCAAGAGCCGAATGGCTCACAGGACTATACCAAATAAATGAACTCTGAACTATGATGAACCCCGACGGGTGCTCTGTGTTCGTACGGTGTCGATGCGAGATGGTTGAGACTGTTTTAAACACGCGTGTTACGTGCCTGCGTGTGCGGTGGTTATTATTAATCGGCGATTGAATGCGTGGCAAACCGATGCCAAAGTTCGAGATGCAGCAGCAATACACAGCCGCTCCTCTTATCAATCCACTCGCTCCTCATAGTTCCATTTTTAGTTCCATTTATTTGGTATAGCCCCGTGAGCCATTCGGCTCTTGAATCGGGTGCAACCGCAACAAATAAAAAAACAAAAACACGAACAAGAAAACATCTTAAAGTGATTATGTGACTGTGCAAACAGAAAATCCAGGGAAAAAAAACATAAAAATATTGTTGAAATAGCACCGTACACCAACGCTGTGTGCAAAAATCCCAGTGGGATGCAAGTCAAACAACAACAACAACAACCACAAGACAACTAAGATTAAGGCCATCAGTCTAACCCCGTACTACAATAAACAAAAACATGGCCAAACCAAAAAACTTTTCAAAATCACCAAAATAAAGCCTTAAATGCAATGTAACAGTGATGATAGGGACTGTGACCGAATTTTTAACAATAAACTACATAAATAACATGTAACACCAAACCCTAGAGCCACAGCTGGCTGCATGAGTCACTTCACAACAACAGGAGCTACACACATCCGTGTGTGTATCTCGAAGATGAGAGCTGTAGTTTATTTATTTATTTTATCTGGACTTAAAATGTCTCTCTAACACAACGTGGCTTTTTGTGTCTCGACCTAGGTGGTTGCCAAGACTGAAGAATCTATGGAGCTAAAAAGTGTGAGTACAGTGTGGGATGCGTGGGATGGGTGCCACGGTGGTGAAATGTTAACTACCTCGCCGGGTGTACAGGACCGTGGGTTCGATCCCCACCCCGATGCCTATCTATTTAGAGGTTTGCGTGTTCTCCACATGGTCGCGTGGATTTTTCTCCGGGTCCTCCAGTTTTCCCCTCCACATTTAGAAACGTGCGTTTATAAATTTCCACGTGATGTTGACAAGCCACTTCGTTGAGCTATCATTTGTGGCCAGGTCGCTTCTGAAAAAGAGTTACACAGCTTCGTGGGCCTTACCTGGCAAAATAAAAAAATAGTTTCGTTTAGTTTTTAGAGTTTAGTATCATCAGCAGTTGCCACCACACGGCTGAGACGAGTCAAGTACGGCGTCAGTAATTAGGCTGTGAATTACATCTCCACCCAAGTGAATTACATCTCCACCCAAGTGAATTACATCTCCCCCCAAGTGAATTACATCTCCACCTAAGTGAATTACATCTCCACCCAAACGAATTACATCTCCATCCAAGTGAATTACATCTCCACCTAAGTGAATTACATCTCCACCCAAACGAATTACATCTCCATCCAAGTGAATTACATCTCCACCCAAGTGAATTACATCTCCACCCAAGTGAATTACATCTCCTCCCAAGTGAATTACATCTCCTCCCAAGTGAAGTACATCTCCACCCAAACGAATTACATCTCCACCCAAGTGAATTACATCTCCACCCAAACGAATTACATCTCCATCCAAGTGAATTACATCTCCACCCAAGTGAATTACATCTCCCCCCAAGTGAAGTACATCTCCACCCAAGTGAAGTACATCTCCACCCAAGTGAATTACATCTCCACCCAAGTGAATTACATCTCCTCCCAAGTGAAGTACATCTCCCCCCAAGTGAAGTACATCTCCACCCAAGTGAATTACATCTCCACCCAAGTGAAGTACATCTCCACCCAAGTGAAGTACATCTCCCCCCAAGTGAAGTACATCTCCACCCAAGTGAATTACATCTCCACCCAAGTGAAGTACATCTCCACCCAAGTGAAGTACATCTCCTCCCAAGTGAAGTACATCTCCACCCAAGTGAAGTACATCTCTACGGCCGCCTGAGGCACGCGAGCTCCCGGGCCGCGCTCCGAACAGCGGCTGGCGGGGCCGTTTGTGAGGGGGCCGACGGAGCTGGGGGGGGGGGGGGGCGACAGAGCCGGAGGGGGGCCGACGGCGCGAGCAGAGGGAGCCGACACTGACTCACACATCATACACTGACTCACTCACACATCATACACTGACTTTCTCACACATCATACACTGACTTTCTCACACATCATACACTGACTCACTCACACATCATACACTGACTCACTCACACATCATACACTGACTCACTCACACATCATACACTGACTTTCTCACACATCATACACTGACTCACTCACACATCATACACTGACTCACTCACACATCATACACTGACTCTCTCACACATCATACACTGACTCACTCACACATCATACACTGACTCACTCACACATCATACACTGACTTTCTCACACATCATACACTGACTCACTCACACATCATACACTGACTCACTCACACATCATACACTGACTTTCTCACACATCATACACTGACTCACTCACACATCATACACTGACTCACTCACACATCATACACTGACTTTCTCACACATCATACACTGACTCACTCACACCATGCACTGACTCACTCACACATCATACACTGACTCACTCACACATCATACACTGACTCACTCACACATCATACACTGACTTTCTCACACATCATACACTGACTCACTCACACATCATACACTGACTCACTCACACATCATACACTGACTTTCTCACACATCATACACTGACTCACTCACACATCATACACTGACTCACTCACACATCATACACTGACTTTCTCACACATCATACACTGACTCACTCACACCATGCACTGACTCACTCACACATCATACACTGACTCACTCACACATCATACACTGACTCACTCACACATCATACACTGACTTTCTCACACATCATACACTGACTCACTCACACATCATGCACTGACTCACTCACACACCATGCACTGACTCACTCACACATCATGCACTGACTCACTCACACATCATACACTGACTCACTCACACATCATACACTGACTCACTCACACATCATACACTGACTCACTCACACATCATACACTGACTTTCTCACACATCATACACTGACTCACTCACACATCATACACTGACTTTCTCACACATCATACACTGACTCACTCACACATCATACACTGACTTTCTCACACATCATACACTGACTCACTCACACCATGCACTGACTCACTCACACCATGCACTGACTCACTCACACCATGCACTGACTCACTCACACGTCATACACTGACTCACTCACACACCATACACTGACTCACACACCATGCACTGACTCGCTCACACATCATGCACTGACTCGCTCAACATGAGCTTACACATCATACACTCGCACAACCACTGACCCATTCACTCATCATACACAGGTTCACTCATAGTGTGCTGGCTCACTCGCACATCATGCACTCACTCACACTGCCGCTGACTCGTTCACACATCATACACTGACTCACTCATCATACGCTGACTAACACATCGTGCGCTGACTCACTCGCACATCATACACTGGGAGTGTCGTGCTGCCAGCTATGGCTGCAGGTTTTGTCGTACGTGTTATGTATATCGTTTATTGTTAAATTTAAAAATCACAGTTTCTATGATTACTATTGTTACATTGTTTTTATAGCTTTATTTTGGTGATTCGAAAACATGGTTAATCTAAATTGTCTTATGGTTGTTGTTGTTGTTGGCTTGCACCACATTTATTTTTGCACACAGCGTTTTAAGAAGTTTTTTTTGTGTGGAATATTTGCCGGTTTATTCCAGGATGTTTCTGTTACGCGTTGTCGATTTAAGATGTTCTGTGTTCAAATTTTGTTTGTTGCGGTTGCACCCAACTTAAGAGCCGCATGGGGGGAGGGCCTTCATCCAGCAGTGCGTTGACAAAGGGTGGTACACAATTATTTAATTTCTTAAATAATTGACCTATTTAATTCATGAAAACTACAGTGAGTTGTCGGACTCTTTTTCAGGAGGGGCGGTCCTGCATTGTGTTTTTTTATCGTTTTGAGACGTTTTCAGCCAATGATTGATGACGTGTTTAAACACGTGGGAGGAAACCGTAGCACCCAGAGAGAACCCACGCACTCTATCCCCGTACAGATGGAAACAGGTGGCGATTAGTTCACTTTGTGTTCTGGATTCTGCAGGGCGAGTTCAGCATTCCGGAGGTGCAGGGCGACCTCTTCTCGTGCCCGCCCAACGAAGCGCTCGCCCACTGCATCAGCGCCGACTGCCGCATGGGTGCCGGCATCGCCAAGATCTTCAAGGCAAAATTTAGCGGCACTCAGGAGCTGCTGACCCAGGGTTGGTGGTGCCCTTTCTCATGCTCCGTCTCGCCAAACGTTGCCGTTCTATTTTGCGATCGTTTTTTTTTAAGCCGAACGGTTTAATTCGCCGTTTTCTGTCGGCGTGAATTCGCCGTGTTTTTGTGGCTTGCTGCCCGACGTTTTATTTATTTTACTTCATTACATTCCTCCAGCCAAGAAGGTTGGAGAAGTGGCAGTGTTGGAGCGGAATGGGAGATTCATTTACTACTTGGTAAGTGCCAAAAATGTATAAATGTATATCGCACTCATCGTAAACAATGGCTTATAACACAAATATACATAGTAGTGTTTTGAGTCTAGGTACTGTTCTGTCTGAATGTAAGAGGTCATAATGTACTCGGGATGCTGGCATGGTGTGAAGGTCCACACGCTGGACTTTCAATCCACGAATAAGCGCAATTAGTCCATCGGCAGGTCGCATGCCGTGGGGTCAAGTGTGGGTACTTTCACCTCTTCCAGGACACGTGGCAAGCATGGAAGAGCGGGCCAGAATTCCCTCGAGGGTGGCTCTCTAGAGCTCCCGCTATTAGAAGCCCTTCCGCCAGCAGTTGTGTGAGCAAGGCAATTACAGGGCTTCACCTTGACCTAATAGCTTATGCATAGTGTACAACCTATCGTTAATTAGCCACGAGTGTTGGCACAGTTGTGTTCCCGCACTGCGATGTTCCGAGTCGCCATCCGTGGCTCGCATCAGTGGCGCGTGATATCTTAACCAGTCCTCGGCTCTCTCCGCCTTCACCATTCTGTACTCACCACCGTGGTGAGGTATGGCCAAATAACCCCCAATGACCAATAAGTCATGGGCAGGCCTTATTCCAGAAATTTCCGTGCGCTGTTCACCGGCATGATGCGGAATGTCATTATCTCATCATCATGATCCTTGGTCAATCCACTGAAAGCCTCCCCAGGTCGTTACCATCTCCAGCGTTCTTGCGATGCTACGATCCAGCACAACACCTACTACACACATGAGCTCACGTCATTTGCTCCGTCTCTGAAAGGTGACCAAAATGAAAGCCTTCAACAAGCCGACGTACCCGGATCTGGAGAGCAGCCTGCGCGCCATGAGGCACCATTGCACATCTCACGGCGTCACGGCTGTCTCCTTGCCCAGGTGAGTTGTCGCCCACAGCGAGTGCCAGATATAGCCTGAGAATACATGATGAACTTCTTTCGCACCGTGCGTAGCCAACCCGTGCCAATCGGAGGTGCGGGAGAGTATAGCCGCTGCAGTACCCAAGGCCTTCCCCGAAACACGCCGATCTCAAAGATTACACCATCAATCCCGCATCCCCCCCCCCACACAAACTCGCCTTAAATCAACAAAACCTTTTGGAATGTCGCTACTGCTCTCCATCGAACCCCATAGAGCATTGAACAACAGTGGTAAAATACCTGGGAATCTGGCGTACTACCGAATGGAGTGATTGTTTTGAAGGGCTTGTTAACATCCACCAGGGGGGCTCCCTCCCACGCGATACCCATGGTCCATTGTGAACCGCGTCCACACAGCTCGTGGAATATGTGGGCACCTACTACGTAACCTGGGAGATAAAAGAATCTCCAACGTGCGACTACGGAGCAATACAAAGGAATTCCACGTGTGGCGAAGTCGGGACCCGCTGAAATTGTTTCGTGTGCTGACCTCGGCCACTCTCCTGCCTTGTCCGTGTGCAGGATTGGCTGTGGCTTGGACAAGCTGCAGTGGGACAGGGTGAAGTGGATAATGGAAAAAGTGTTCAGGGACAGTGGCATCAAGCTCACAGTCTACTACCTCTGACTGGGGCAACGAGCAGGCAGAATCAAGCGAACTCTTGTGTGTGTGTGTGTCTGTGTGTGTGTCTGTGTGTGTGTGTGTCTGTGTGTGAGCATGGCGAGGGGAGCAGTGGCCGTTAGTGGCTTGCACGCTGTGCTGCTACGGATCCTCACCCTGCCTAACATCACTGGGGATTCTCTAAAACGGGTCCTGGATCTCCTCGAAGTCGACTCAGCCTTAAATGAGTAGTGCAGTATATGGACGTCAGCACACTGGGGAGACAACAGTGGCTGGGCATGGTGCTCCCCAACAGCACTTGCCCCAACCAGTTCCGTTGAACACTACACGGGGGATATTTGTCTTTGTGTGGTGGCATGGTGGTTAGCGCACTGCACTATGAACCGAGTGACCTGCGTTCGATTCCCAGGAACGGCTGCCATCAGTGACGAGTTTCATCTAATGTCCACCCCTATACTTGGTCTGCACCAGGTAGCCTCACTCTTAAATGAGTACCTGGCGCAGTGTGTGATTGTCAACAATCGGGAGGAAAAAAGCAGTCGGGCACGCTGCAAATCACACCCCACCCCCTCTTGTTCTCGACTGGCCTTAATAAGTACTCACTACAGGTGTATAATGCTAAACGGGGGATATATGTTGCTGCATGTGATGGACACGGAGAACACTCTCATACAACACACAGGCCGTGTTTTGAATTATGTTGCAAGTTTCAGCTGTGGGAGATGCAAAAAAACCCGGTCATATATTATTATATGAAGTAAAAGTTATATTATTTATAGTTAACCAAATCGTGCTTTTCTCGCTGTAGCCTTCCATGAAGCCCGGTTCACCACAGTGAGCTATTTGCTGCTTGAGCTTGGTGCCTCAGGGCCATCTGGAGGAGTCTGCAGAAGTCGACACATTTAACGAGCCATGCATTGGCCAACGAGTCACATTTGACACAAACGCTGGGTTTCGATTACTTGTGGGGTTGGCCCGTTTCGTGCACATCCACCACCAACCAGTCACAAAGTTCGGGCTGATGTATATCAAACTGTATTTGCATATTAACCCAGTTCAGCCGTAAATTTTGTTTCGCAACAATGACTAATAATAATAATTACTATTATTTGGGAGTGATGAAAGCAGCTCATGTAAGGTGCTAGTTAGATTCTGACGTCGCAGCACAGTGAAAGATGATAGCTTTGGGTGGCTTTCATCGAGCAGTGGAGTGATCGTGGCTGACGATGTTACGCACGGTGGTCACCCCATCCAGGCTATGCAGACTCGACCCCTGCGAGGCTTGAGATCTGACGGGGTTGGGAACCTTATGGGTGACTTGGCCACAGACAGCGCTGAGTTGAACTAAACAAAAGACTAAACACATTTTTATATTACCGGGTAAGTCCCACCGAGCTATGTGGCTCTTTTTCAGAAGCGACCTTCGCCACAAATTATAAGCTCGACAAAGTGGCTTATCACTTGGTAATGTACAGCAGCCAAATACTCCAAACGCGTGTTTCTAAATGTGGAGGGAAAAACCGGAGGAGCCGGAGAAAAATCCACGCGACCACGGGGTAAAAACATGCAAACTCCAAATATACAGCAGACGTCGGGGTCAGGATCAAACCCACGACTTCCTGCATACCAGGCGAGGGAGATAACATCTCGCCACCGTAGCATCGAGTTACTGACACGGTATCCTTGGACTGAAAGGAGAAGTACCCCTCGTGAAACCGGAGGCAGTTCAGACTGGCCAGGGCGGGTCAACCATACGATGCGGTACGGCAACACGAAAGATCGTCCCTCGCTCAGGCCCAACGTGATTTAAAGAGTTATTTTTTATTTACCGTTATTATTTATTACGCTTGCTTTGCCAGGAGAGGCCGTTTTGAGTCTAGAATGTAAGCATATGTTGGATTTCGTTTCACAAATTTGTAAATCAACCTTGATTTGAAGCTTTCGTGACTGGAGGAATCCATCCTCTTTGGTTCTTTTGGTAAAGTCACGTAGGTAGAATATTTTATTTTATACCTACGTGACTTTACCGAAAGAACCAAAGAATATACATTTGGATTTGTTGAGAGTTGGTAAAATCATGTTACTATTTTCTGTTGTTTATCCTTGCCTTAACCCAAAGGTACTGTTCAATCCCAAACACATGTACACGTAGGTTTGTGTACACTATTCAGCACTCAATTTTAACTCTTATGATACTCGTGATAGTTTGTTCTTTGCGATTTAATCTTGATTTACTCAAATTATGTGCAATATTTAGGCTCCTGGAAAGAATGAAATGTTATACTTAAGAACATTCGACTTACGAACTTTCAGAGATACGAACAAACCTGTCCGTATGTCCAGTTGCCTGTTCGGACAGAGTCGTAAGTTCAACAGCCGTACAATAGATGGCAGTGGTGTCATCTGTACCTTCAGAACATGAAGAACCAGTGGCATCTACATGTACAGGAGATTATTCATTTCCCCGTGTTTAGTAGACATGCCGTACAACATGTTTGGAATCGGCAGGAGTTAAGTTTGACTTTACGAACAAATCAACTTGCGAACAGACCTCAGGAACCTAACTCGTTCGTAAGTAGAGGAGTCCCTGTATGTGGAAGAGAGTCTTTACTCTCCCAAGTCTATGTGGCGTTAAACAACCTTCGTGGGCCTTGCATGGCGTTGCAAGAGGGTTCTGTGTGGTACTTCCGGCGATGTGAAATGGTATTGGTGTGCCAAGGAATGTTACCGAGATGTGTAATAAAAACAACGGTGCATTCATCATGCAATGTGTATGTTGATGCTGTCGTGTTTGTTTTAGTTTATCGATGCTCCCAACAACGTGACTTGTCTTACATTTTCAGCGAAAGGTGTGCGAGTGAAGTGGGAGGTTTCTGTGGGACAATGTGGTGTGCCCCTCTGTGATCTTACATTGTCGTTCTCCATGTACGTGAGTTGCATGGGGTCAGAGTGGTGCGCTCACAGACGAATATAGCACGCGCTTTAGGTTTTTTTTTAAACAAGGTAAATAATCAGTAGATGTTAAGTGTAGAGTGTGAATACGTTCGTTGATAGAGGGGGGGGGGGGGGCACAGACATCTGCTGTGTAACTGACATATATAGCCCGTGTCGATTATCGTAGCCTGTATACCAGTAAACAGATAAACGTTGAATTTTTATTTAAAGCTTTCGTGACTGGAGGGATTAATGTTGGTTCTTTCGGTAAAGTTAAAATTAGAAATGTTCTTGCTGTGGTTTTCACACCTGATGCTGATTGCTTGTGTTGCAGTCGAAACGTCGTGAGGATTTTATTGTTTTATATTTTTATTATTTTATTGTTTCCCTTCTACGCGGTGACTTTACCGAAAGAACCAAGAATAGGTAATCGTTGGGCTAACTTTGGCACAAGGGTCCCAGTTTAACACGTCGTAACGCTTTCGAGACCAATATCCGTCATAAAGGTTTTTTTTTGTGTGGGGGGTGGGGGGTGGTGGTGAGATCGCGTAAATATATAAATGTGTTGTTAAACCCGCCACCACCCGACACAGCCTATTAGTAAGGTTTGCCACGTAAACAAAACGTGCCAATTCGTTACTAGCACAGCAACACCGGCGTGCTGGGAGAGTAAACTCACAACATTTACAATGCGAAACGACGTTTCGCTGCTTCCACGTGTCAGGGCAGTGTAGGGACAGAGAAAGATGCGTCCTGAACTCGTGAACAAGAGGCTGCGGTGGAGGAACGCAGTCGGGGAATAGCAAAGGCATTGGGGGCCGTCCATAAATGACGTCACGCACCTAGGGGGGGGGGGGTTAGAAACGTGACGTCACATCAAAATGCGCAACTTTAAATATAGACAACGCGTTCTACTTAATCATTAAATAGACTTTTAATAAATGTTTTCTCCTACAATAGCAGAGTGCAGCGCCACATTAAATACGCACTACAATGACAATAGTTTAAAGCGATTTGAAGCATGTTTTATTTTTTGTGGGGGGGGGGGGGGGCAGAGCTTTGTGACGTCATATTTGAGGGGGGGGGTCTGACTTTTTGTGACGAAGGCGGGGGGGGGGGTCAAAAATCGTCCAAAATCGCGTGACGTCATTTATGGACGGCCCCTTGGCTGACGACTGAATATGGGAGATTTTGTGGCCGAGAGATTTGTGGAAAGCAGTTTCTCGAGGAGTTTTGCTGCAAGTGGTTTGCGCTACGAACCTGGAGACCCGAGTTCGCTTCCCGCTCACGGCCAGCTCCAGTGACGAACATCTGGGGCTCCGCTAGGTCGACTCGGCCTCAAATGAGCGCCTGGTGTGGTGTGTAAGCATCGCCACCGGGGAGACAAAGGCGGCCGGGCGTGCTTGTTGGCCACCCCCATCCCCTCGTGTGGCACAGTGCCGGTAGTCTTCAGTCTATGAAGGCTACACGGAGGGATCTTTGTTTAAGCATAGGCGAAGTTTGACTTTTATATTTGTGGGGCGGAGGGATTCGCTTTATCCCCCGCATCAGGAATCGCGGGTGCATTGAATTATTTTATTTTTAATCTTAATTGAGAATAAATTAATACAGGTGCACAGATTTTTTTTGGGGGGGGCCTTGCCCCCCGCCAAATTCTGCCAATGCCCTTGGCCAAAGATCGCTTCGTGAGGGGGACCCCCTTTCACACGATGACAAATAATAAGAGTAATAGGTTTTACCCTGCCTGGCCATAAAACACGAGTTCTGTTAAGATGTTCAAATTTTCGAGGAAATAAATTAGTGCATTGACCGCACACGGTTACTTGTGGCGAACATGGAAGCAAAAACATGTTCTGATTAAATATGGCATTGTCTTTGAATCAGTTTCGAAGGATATCGATTTGGTGTTTGAACATCTTAAAACCTGTTCTGTCAGAAAGGGTTAAAAAAAAAACCCAAATCTATGATTTCCTTTTCACACTTTTGACGCTGGAAATAAGATCTCACGATGCCCCCCCTCACGTGGTTAACAGCCATGATTCAGCATCGCTACCTCATACCAATCAACTCCTTATCACTGCTGCCCACCTTATCACGGACCATTCCAGACCTTATTGGTCACCCCGTGCCCCTTATAAATCTCAACGTTCGTCCTACAAAGTCCAAGGACAAGGGAGAAACAAACAAAATAGACAGAACAATAATAGGGTTTTTCCCCTTTTTTCTGGCAACAAAACTGAAACCTTTTTACAAGGATTCATGTCTGCATTAACCACAATACCTGCAGTCAAAATGCAAACAAAAAAACATACTATGATAATATATGCATTGTCCTTTAAACTGATTGGTTCACACCAATGCAGACATGAATCCTTGTAAAAAGGTTTCAGTTTTGTTGCCAGAAAAAAGGGGGAAAACCTTATTATTACATTTTGGTACTGGCAAAGGAGGTCTAATGAGACAGAACAATGTTTTGTCGTTGCCCGAAACGGCTGTAACGCCGTATGGGACCTCACAATGCAATGTCCCTGTACAAGACGAACACAGGGGGTCAAACCGCGTGGGTTTACAGCGACGCAAACCTCGACCCCTCCCTGTCGGTTTAGAGACGCGCCCAACGTCGCCTCAACGTTTCGTGCCGACTGGACGCGAGAATAACCGTATCGTCAAGGAGTTGGAGTGGCACGGTCATTCAACAAGCACCGCTTTGCATCCCCAAAAGAAAAAATAAGTAATGTTTAAAAAAACTTTTTTTTAAAACACGCTTTTATTTAAATGTACCCTACTACTCATTGTTTTTTTCGGTAGTGACGTATGTAGAAATACCATAAAATCACATTATTTCTACATACGTGACTTTACCGAAAAAACCAATGAGTGATTTATTCAGTCACGAAAGCTTTGATTCTGTACCCTACTCGTCATGGCAGAACTCCACGACTCCAGGAAGTGGCCCGAAGCTTGCCACAACGTAAGGGAACCGTGGCCAATTACAGCCAACGTCAGTTGAGCGTGGACAATTAGACCCAAGCCGAAACATAACATATAAAAAATGTTAAAAAATATTTGTATTTTATTTTTAATGATAGAATCTAGTATTGTCATCATTATGACATCAGTACACCAAGTTTGCAGTCGATACCACATTGGGAAGTGGGTAAACATTAAGTTACAAGATTTGAGGATATAACAACGACAACAACAACAGACAGAGTGAGTTAAATAAAAGCGTGTAAAAAGATACTAAACACGTGGGCCCCAAGTGTCACACAACCTCGCTGATCAAGCATAGGCCAGGCAAATAATGAACATGCACTCCACAGCAGAGGCAAAGACCAACGTTTATCCAAACCAACAATGTTTTATAATACATCGAAACACTAATTCAGGGTTTTCGACAAATGTTTGACGTTCTGCAAATAGACATACTTTCGAACGGTGTTCTTGATTGAGACTGCACTTTTAAAAATGTAAAAAAAGAAATGCATCCTTGAACCCATATTGCCATATATGTACATAGCTAATAACGTGATAAGGGGCCGTCCATAAATGACGTCACGCGATTTTGGACGATTTTGACCCCCCCCCCTTCGTCACACGACGTCACAAAAAGTCAGACCCCCCCTCAAATATGACGTCACAAAGCTCTGCCCCCCCCCCTCCAAAAAAATAAAACATGCTTCAAATCGTTTTAAACTATTGTCATTGTAGTGCGTATTTAATGTGGCGCTGCACTCTGATGCTGTAGGAGAAAACATTTATCAAAAAGTATATTTAATGAAGTAGAACGTGTTGTCTATATTTATTTAAAGTTGCGCATTTTTATGTGACGTCACATTTCTCACCCCCCCCCCCCCTCTCGTCACACATAAGTCACAAATGTCTGACCCCACCCCCTAGGTGCGTGACGTCTTTATGGAGGCCCCTTACAGCTATTCTAAATACGCTATTAAAACGTTTAGAGTCGTGTAAATGTGTATGAAATGCATTTTCATGAACCAACATTTTCATTTGCATGAGTAACAAACTCAGGCTTTCTATTTAAACCGCGTTGGCTTTCACTTGTCAATGTTACTCTTCATAAGTGAGTTTTGGATTAGGTCGTCAACGCAATCGTCTGACCAAGATGTGGGTCGTGCAACCCTCCACAAGCCCCGACACGGCCAACCGAATTAAAATATCACGTCCACAATCACTCAACAAAGTACACATTATAATGAAACAATTATTATTATTGAGCTGAAGCAATAATGCTTCAATAATGATTATCATCATAATTGTTTCAGCTCAATTATTACAATAATCATTATTACTGTTTCAGCTCACCGACAAGATGAGGTGGCGATTCCCACAACCGACTTTAGCAATAGACGCGACGTTTCGTATGCCAACCATCATCAGGGAAAATGAGATGCTCAAGCCTCAAGATGAGAATCCAGGAAGTGATTAACCGTGCCACCTGGCCCGCTTACTTTAATAAGTGCCACGACATCACGAGGAACGACGAATCGGATGCAAAGCTATTAAAATAATACCTTAATTTATTATAATTGTATTCTAATTCATCAGTGCCAATGATTAACATTGTATTGTAACTCTTAATGTACTGTACCTACTAGCCAAGCGTTTTATAGGTTAGAATAGCGGTTTTTAACCTTTACTCCAGCCTTGCGCCCCTTTGCTTCTCAATCGTAAAAAAATAATCATGTTAGTAACTACATCGGTTTAATTAAACTAAGTAGTTGTATTTCATATTCTTGGTTCTTTCGGTAAAGTCACGTAGAAGGGAAACAATTAAATAATACAAATATAAAACAATAAAATTCTCACAATGAGAATGTTTGAGAATTGTATTGTTTTATATTTTTATTATTTTATTGTTTCCCTTCTACGTGACTTTACCGAAAGAACCAAGAATGTGAATCCCTGCAGTCACGAAAGCTTTAAATCAAAATCTAGTTGTATTTCGTTTTAAAGCTTTCGTGACTGCAGGGATTCACATTCTTGGTTCTTTCGGTAAAGTCACGTAGAAGGGAAATAATAAAATTATAAAAATAAAACAATAAAATTCTCACCACGTTTCGATTGCGAAAGGTGTGCGAGTGAAGTGGGAGGTTTCTATGGGACAATGTGGTGTGCCCCTCTGTGATCTTACATTGTTGTTCTCCATGTACGTGAGTTGCATGGGGTCAGAGTGGTGCGCTCACAGACGCATATAGCACGCGCTTTAGGTTATTTTTTTGTAAACAATATTATAAATAATCAGTAGTTGTTAAGTGATTGCTTGTGTTGCAATCGAAACTTCGTGAGAATTGTATTTTTTTCTTATTTCCCTTCTACGCGACTTTACCGAAAGAACCAATAATAAGTAGTTGTACTTACGTGCCTGTGCTTAATTTGTGTTTCGATGATTTACCTTCGAAAAAAATCGGGAATGTCTCGCGCCCCTAGGGGGTGCGCGCTCCCCAGGTTAAGAACCACTGGGTTAGTAGATGGGTCAGGTTTTCATTTGGAATCAGGCTTTTATTGACACTTAAACAAAGGCAGAATATATTTCCCATTGTATAAAAAAATGGACATTCATGAATTACCAATGCGATCCATTGTCAATTTTTAATGACTGTTTAGTATGAAAAAACACGTCTGGTAAGTGTATGCCACCACATTTAAAGAATGAAAACGTTGGGGAAACTAATCACCCTGGAGAAAGAATATAAAACTGCTTCCTTCATGTAAACGCTCGCACATGATTCTCAAAACACATGAAAAGAATTATGGTATGTACAGTAATCAATTAAACTGTTGAATATGTCGACGTTCATATAATAAATGGTTAACGTGTTGCACCTGTTCTCGCTGTTAAACTAAAATATAGAGTTTGCGTGCACTTGTATAAAGAAGTTCAATACACCTCCCCAAGGCCTCCACCTTCTAACGTCGAAACATCGTTGGGGCGCTACGGTGGTGAGATGCCAACTACCTCGCCTGGTGTGGAGGAGGGTCGTGGGTTCGATCCCGACCCTGACGCCTGTTGTATTTAGAGTTTGCAGGATCTCCCCGTGGCCGTGTGGATATTTCTCTGCGATTGAGAGTATTTGGCTGCTATAAATGTCCACGTGACAAACCACTTCGTTGAGCTATCATTTGTGGCCAAGGTCGCTTCTGGAAAAGCGCTACATAGCTCAGTGGGCCTTACCTGGTAAAATAAAAAAAAAATAGTTTAGGTGCAAGGATAATGGTACGCATTTACCATTTATAGGGAACTTGCTTTACGTGAAATCTCAACTATTCCAACGTCCTGCTACCACCAGGCCAAGGATGACCCCCCCCCCCCGAATTGGCAGCCGTCCCTGTGCAGCAACGGTGTGCACGCGAGCGTTAGTCTGGGGGGTGCCGTTGCAGCTTCAGTCCTCGTAGGCGATGTTGTCGTACATGCCGGCCGGCGGCTGCGGCCGCTGCCGCTGACTGTTGAGTTGGGACCGGATGACCGAGGAATGGCCGGCGGGAGGGGGCGGCAGGTCGCCGATGCAGTACGGGCGCAGGTCGTGGTGAAGCAGCTTCACCTTGTTGTCGACGGGCAGCTTGGTATCGCGCAGCTGCGGGTACGAATTGTCGGGGTCGTACACGGTGGTGGGCTCGGGCTTTTTGCAGAATCTGGGAGGAGATTTTTTTTTTTTAAAAAGAGAGGGGTTATGGGCGCAGTCTCGTCATCATCATCATCATCGCCTTCACCATCACCATGACCAATCTAAACAAACCAGGTAAAGGCCCACTGAGCTACATACTGTAGCTCTTTTTCAGAACCGACCTGGCTATCACAATTTTTTTTTTTACCACTGAACTATGTGGTTCTTTTTCAGAAGCGAGCTGGCCATCACAAATGTTAGCTCAACGAAGTGGCTTTATCATGCGGACATTTATATCAGCCAAATTCTCTATATATATACGCATGTTTGCAAATGTGAAGGGAAAAGCTGGAGGACCCGGAGTAAAATCCACTCGACCACGAGGAGAGGGTCGGGATTGAACCCACGACCTCCTGTATACCCGGCAAGGTAGTTAACATCTCCCCACCCTGGCGCCCAATCGAATGCTGCATCAAGGCCACCCCTGATTGGTCGCCATCTCTCACACTCGTGCGATGTAACGTTCCACGTTGCGTCTGCGCACAAGCCAAATAATGATTTCACCTGTATTCCAACTCACATTACTCGGCTCTTAGAGAACAACCGATGGTGATGATGATGATGATGGAGGAGGAGGTTGTTTAATTCAGTGCAAAACATTTCAGGGTGGTGACAGCCTCGGGGTAAGCGCATTCGCCGCTTGTTGCCGAGGTTGACGGTTCGAATCCAGCGGCCGCCCTGGATATTGCTGCCGTTGGAATAACCACAGCCTGCTTCACGGTCGACGTTAATGGTCCCCTGACGTTATGCGCATGAGCGGGCCAACTATGCACTGGCGTCAAGTGCTGAAATGTGTCAAGTTACGTGTCAAATTACGTGTCAAAAATGCGTCAAATTACGTGTCAAATTATGAAAATTAACCTGTAGATTATTCAACAGCAATCGTCACCCCCTTATTGGTCGACGAAGAGCCCCAGTTCACCCCAGGTCATTCTCGCAAATGAGACCAGCCTGAAAGTTCTCACCTGGTTAAACAAAATAAATGTAAATACAATTGCTGTACATGGCTGACAAAGGGTGGGTTATAGGACGCGTGTGGTAAAGCAGAGAGGTTATGCATAGAATGCTCAATTCCTGTACAAAGTTGAAGAGGCACCATCGTCCAACGCGGAGTTTACAGTCTCAGATGATAACGCAGGCAAGTGGATTCATTGATAATTGGAGCACAGTGGCAACGTGTCGTGATAATAATGCACCAGTGCTGGGTCTCTGCGTGTGTCTATCGCTCTCCGTGCACGTCTATGGGGTCTCTATGTGAATCTGTGGATATATTGACTGTGTGAATCTACATGTCGCTGTGTGTGTGTGTGTTTATAGTGGACTCTGCGAGTCTGCATCTCTATATGAGTCTACAGGCCTCATGTGTCAGTCTATGAACCTCCACGGGAAAGAGGGCAGCCGATGAAGCCACTGACAATGCATTCTGGTCCCTCAATGAATCGAGCTGCACGCCTTACCACCCGGGGCGGACTTTTCAGCCTCCTCAACCCGGAGCCACGAAGGGCCACGGGCGGGCATGACTGCACAACGTGGACGAGTGAGATGCAGTGAGGCGCCTCACCCCTTGTTGCAGAACGTGCTTGCCAGCATGATTACGAAGATGGTCGCCAGAATGCTCCCCATAACGATCTTTACCCACGCTGTTGGAACACAAAAGAGGCCGGCTTGTGAGATTGAGTGAACCGTCATCCGCGTGCCGTCAGCAGCCCAATATCAGTTCATAATCTGCAGAGCCATCGTCTGTTCGTCCGCGTCCAACGTAAGGGAGGGAGGATGTTTTGATATGAAAAGGTACTTGACAAAACAAAAACGTATCTCGATGAGGATGCTAGCGCGGTTGTAATAGTTGGCAAAGTAGACTTGTAATACGGAGGTCACCGGATCCAGTTGAAGCAATGGTCCAAGTTTCCTATAACTCCTCCGACTCTGTCCAGCTCAGCGCCTTAAACGTGCACACCACTGTCAGTCGATCGGCAGCTCGGCGTGTGGTGGCGTTATAAAGATGGGTGCTCCCACCTCTTCCGAGACGTCTGGCCATCGAAGAAGAGTATCCCAAAATACCCTCCAGAGTTCGCTCTCATGGTGGCCCCCTTGCAACAGCAGTGGCGTAAGCAAAGCAGTTGCAGGGCTGCGCCTTTACCGATGCAGTATCTCAATATGAGCATTTGAAATGAGTAAATGCTTACTTTTGTCTGGAGGTCCCTCCGTGTTGGAAACTGTTGAGTAAGAAAAAATGATGGAATTAGAGGGCGGAACTTAAGATTCATAGATACAGCTCAGTTGCATTGAGAGCTTTGTGACCTTATTTTATTGGATGGTTCAAACCTGTAATTCCTTATACAGAGCAGAGATGCAACGCTTTGTATAAACACTGTGCTTTCGCGTGTTGTAAATGTTATGTGCTTGGAGACTGCTTGTAAATACACTTAAAAGTAAAGTAATGCATAGGTTAATTTGAAAAAATGATTCAAGTTAAATTATGAATTGAACGTCTTCAATGAATTGATCCATGCAGAGTAACGAATCAACATTTAATTAAAGCCATAAAAAAAAACACAGCGATGAATGATATAACTCAAATATAAAGACACTGAAGAATTCGGAGCAAGTGCTGTAGATGATGAGCGGCGAAGCAAAATTTACGAACCAAAGTGGCAGCGGTTAAATTAATGAATGAAAGGATAGCAAGTGAAAATTCAGACGTCCTCTCACTGTTCCAACTATGGCAGAAGGCCGTGGCCTCGAGGCTGGCGTTGTTGATGCACGGCGCCTGGACGATCGCGGTCACGTTGGTTCCGTTCACAAAATCCACTGTGACCACTTTCGCCCCGGCAATCCATCCGTCTCTGCCAAAAAAAATGAAAATTACTTCAACACATAGACTTTCGCGACCAATAGTATCCATAAAATGTTTTTTTTGGGGTTAGATCGCGTAAATATGCGTGACGTTAGACCCGTCACAGCTGATTAGTAAGGTTTGTCACGTAAACAAAACGTGCCAATTAGTTACTAGTTCAGCACACCGCCGTGTTGGAGAGTAAACCCACAATATTTACAGTTCGACGTTTCGCCAGTAATTACAACCAGCATCATCAGCCGACAGCCAGAATTGAAAATCACCGAGCGTGAGAACATCAGCTTAACCGTAATCTGCCGCACATTGCCGCACGACAACACCAGGGCTTACATCCAGCTTGGGCAGTCTACGTTGGCGATTCTGAAATGTATTTCAGTACCCGGCACACCACATCCACAATGCCTGTCGCTATGTCTGCAACTACGATTCACGCGCCACCAACTCCAGTCGAACGGTGACCCAGAGAATCCTCAGAGAGGAATTAATCCCTGTTGCACACCACATCCAGTATACCTGTTTAACACGTAACAACGTCGCAACTACTCCAGTCTACCAGCGGAGCCGGAAAATATTCAGTGAGGAATTAAGCCCCGGTGCACGGCCATCATAAGGCTCAACACTGCAGCTAAATAAAGGCCTGAGAGGTTCAGACGTTCCGAGTCACAGACCCTCGTGTCGCCAGCGCCCCGGGTCCACCCATGGCTGTGACGTGGTCTCCAGTGGGAAACCAACCATTTTGTACACGTGACCCAGTGCAGGAGTTGTGTCCGCCACGCACAATTCAGTTTGCACTTTGAGGCTTTTGCCGAGCATGTCGACCCGTCGTGATGCGCAAACTCCAGCGAATTGCTGGCGCTTCAGTCGACATTCGAAGCGGACTGCGACCCTCAAAGGAACGGCGCCGCCACCAGCGAGTTCCCATCCCTGCTCACGGCCAACACCGGTGACGATTATCTGAACTGCTCCCGGGCCTCCCCAAGGTCGACTCAGCCTCAAATGAGTACCTGGTGCGGTGTGTAAACATCGCCACTGGGGAGACAAAGGCGGCCGACGAGGCGCTGGCCACCCACCCCCCGTCGCGTGCCGTTCGGCCTTCGTGGGTGCTACTCGCTAACAGCCCTTGCCCCGTACAGTCTGTTAAGGCTACACGGGAGGAATCTTTGTCTTTGTGTGCAGATTGCGTGCGCGTTGTGCGCGTCGTTTCTCACATGGTGGTCGTGAACCCAAGCTCCCGAGCTCCCTCCACGTGGCCCTCGTTGGCAAGGCTGGCGCCCCACTTGGCGCAACTATTTTGCGCCTCGTTGTTGGGCACCGACGAATCCAGCAGCTCCTGGTAAATGCCGTACTTCACTGCGAATGGCAGGAAAGGGCCCGAGACGAATGTTCATTTCTCAGTTGCGCACGTGGGAAAATGAAAAAGTCTCCGGTGTGCGGCTGTGGTCGTCCAGAACAGACCGTAACAACGTATAACGATGCAATGCCCCGATCCTCAAGTGCTAAAGAGACATCACGGTGGTGATACACTACTCCGCTGCTCTTGACGCGGTTATCTGGCTCGACCACCTGAATGTGAAATTGTAGTTGTTGCTCTGCGTCTACATCAGCAGCCGTGCGAAAGACGAAAAAGTAAGAAAACAGTGAGGGAAAAATCTCAAACTTGGGCTGCTCAGTTAAGATATATGAGTAGCTCAGCCATGGCTCAACTTAGGCTCAGCTCACGAAAATCCTGAGCACGGCTGGGGCCAGGCTCAGAGCCATCTCAAGTTAAGCGAGGCTTTGAGCCATTACTCACTTGGGCCAGAGACAAGCCAGAGGGGAGCCATGATCAAGAATACGTGCCTGAGTCTAGTTTAGCATTCTATCTCTGGAGAGGTTTGTGACAGACCCCACACCTTCCCAAATGTTATGTAACTCCTCCATAACAATTGCTTCAAAAATAGTCCAAAGCCTGCTCTAAACATCTATTAGGAAGAAAATAAAACCCGGCGTTTCCTTTTGTCCGTCAACTAAATTATGAGAGCCTTTCCGAAGACCGGAATCAAAAAGTTATAGAAAGTGCCCCCACCCCCCACCCCACAGATGCGGGGGTAAAAAGTTAATCCATCAGATTTCCAAATAATTGTGTAGGCGTATAAATTACATATAGGCAAATTTCGATTTAAAGCTTTCGTGACTGCAATGATTCATCTTCTTTGGTTCTTTCGGTAAAGTCACGTAGAATGAGAATAAAATAATAAATTGATAAAAATATTATTGTGTTATTTTATTTTATCAATTTATTATTTTATTCTCATTCTACGTGACTTTACCGAAAGAACCAAAGAAGATACATATAGGCATATATATTATATATTACATATGCCTACGCACCCTACATACAATAGAGTCAGTAGTATCTGCACACATTGGGGAGGGGGGGGGGACATCAGCGGGGGCGACTGGCGAGGCGCAACGCGTCGAGAAGCTCTGGGCCGCCGAAATTCTCGTCTTATAAAACCCGGCCCAAAAGGAAGGCTTTTTCTACTATCTTTCCAATCACAGACTGTGGTGCATGAGTCAAAGTTACGTGAGCTGTAAAACCTTGCGCTGTAAAACAATAGTTGATCATAAACACCAGCGATGGCACTTGGGCACGTGGCTCCCTCGTTTCACCTTGGTTGATGAGACGCCGAAACGTCGAAACTGGCACAGCGCTTTGCTTGTGTTGAACCAATGCTGCTGAAATGATGCGCTCACAGAGGGAAGACTCAGGCCACGACATTGGTGGAGGGCTCTTGCCTATGACGTCAGCCAACCAGTCGGCGCATGTTTTAAAGGCCACACTCTACCGATGAAACTCGGGAAGTTGGGACCAGTCCTGTGTTTGTATATATATTAACAAATTCTGCTGGACAAAACGTTGGTCTAAAAAGGCACGTAGGCCTATGCAGGGCTTTGGTCTGTGTTTGCAATAAGGAAAAAATATAACTCGCAACCAGCACACCGCATCCGGTACATATCTCACTGCAGCTGTGGCTAATAGTCACAGTGCCAACGACCTGGAAAACATTCGGTGATGATTTAAGCCGTGGGTTTGACAGACTAAAGTGTAATCGAGCACCGGACATAAAACTACAATAACTCACAGTTGTTCACTATTCGTGTGGTTTCAACTCACGTCCTTCGTTGTAGCAAATGACGTTGGGAAGATAATTTGAGATTGGTGCGATAATTTGCGGGTAGCAGTACGCGTGTGACGCATTCCACCTAAATCCATTCCTTTTTCCTTCATCGATCCAGCCTTCCCTGGAGGACGAAATCACGCAAACAGTTCTCAGAATCAGAATGAACATTTATACTGGAAGAATCTGATGAGCGACAAATCTCTTTTTCACAGACGCCCAGTATTTCACAGATGTCCAGGAATTGCTTAAAAAAAACAAAACATGGGAGCGGATTCGGGCAGGACATCGTCGTGAGACGGGATGATGGATGATGGACGAGGCCAGGAATGGAACGGCAGCCCAAGGAGGGAAACCCGCCGGGAGAGGACGGCCACAACAGAGAATGTCGCAGTGAGATCAAAAAGAGCTTCATAGCTCATCGGATTCCTCCGGTATCAATAAAGATTCTGATTCCTGCATTGCAGGACAAGAGATGGATGCTGGCGGCGAGTGCGGAAGCCTCATCCAGCAGTGGACATACCATGGCTGATGATGATGGGTTGTAAGTATATTTATTGACAAATTATATTCTATGCTAATAGACTCGCTGTAAAGACAGTAATTATTGAGTAGTTTTGACGGATATGTTTTCATGTTAAACAACATGACACATTTAGGATTCTCAGGGTAAATTGTTTACGCCGAGGATGAGTGTTGTTGACTCCGACTACCCGAGGGTAATAGAGCCAGACTAAAGCATCTATATCATTTGTGTGGTTAAACCTTAATGCCTGAGGCTCATGGGGCCAGAATGGAGCATCTTGATCATTTGTGTAGTTGAATGTCAATGTCTGAGGCTCATAGGGCCAGACTAAGACACCTTTAAGATTAACATAGGGGTCAGAATTCATGCCTGAGGTTTAGAGACACAGTCTCAAGAGTGGTATGTCTAGAGTCACACCAGATATTGTAGTTTAAAGGGAAACATAAGCATAACTCCATTATTTGTCTCCACATATAAATAAAAGACGTGTTTTAGTCCATCGGCCAACTGGTCCTTCCGGAAAAAAATATCCATCAGCATTTCTTCATTTAAACAAACTCAGGATCAGTTTCATCTAGTTGGGTCTCAACAGCAGTCTGGCTTGTGTAACGTAAGTTGCTGGGTTTCCATATGTTATTGGCAAAAAAGCACTCCATCTAAACGATGGGGCACTGTTCGACGCAACAAGGAATATCATACATAGATTGTACGTAATATTGCATACAGATTCCTCATTATACATTGTTACAGAGCACCATTGGTCTCCACGTACAAATAAAAACGCGCCTCCGATGATTACGGTTGGCCACGTGCGTTGCGCGAAGAAGTTCAACGTACGGCGCGTACATACAAAACGCGTCATAATCCCGCTGGCCTATTTCGCTTTGTTGTATCGTGTCAAGCAAGACCCGTACCAGCAATGATGTTCGACGAGGAGGGCGTCCTGAACCTGAGCAAACGTTGCTGGCACGCTGCCCGCCAACACAGAAAGGCACACTTGACTCACGTTCTTGTAAAAGATGGCTTTTTTGGTGATGTGCAGGAAAACGCCCTTTTGCACTGTGGGAGGTGAGGTGGAGATGGGGGGGGAGGCGGGAAGAGGGGGACAAATCAGTAAACACGGCGACGACAACATTCAAGCTGTATTTTCCCGCGTAACGTGGGGGGGGGGGGGGGGTGATGGGGTGGGCGTTTCCATTGTGCGCCGCTTTAAACCGACATTAAGTAAGACGGCCGAGTTACCTTCGGTGACTTTTCTAAAACATCCGTAACAAAAATACAAAAATAAGAATCTTTATTTAATCCTGGAGAAATCCGATGAGCTATGAAGCTGTTTGTTCGCAGATGTCCAATTGACGGCACTGCCAGAGGACTCGACCCCAAATATTGACGAGCCGTAAAATTGCCTGACACACTACAGGTGACCGCACCCTGCCACTTAACGTGGTATGGTTGTCAAGTATGTTGCTCTGGTTGGTGTACAGATCACACAATCTCTGTCTGCGATTCGGACGGAAGTCAACAGTTTACCAATAGGGGGGGGGGGGGGGGGGGGGGGGAGCGACCAAATTTGCCCATATTTGGGAAACGGTATTTTCATGACAGAGAATGGTGCGTTAACCATTGCCAGTGGTGATGGCTGGCAGCAATTTCCCGCTAAACCTGCACGAGTGTGCCTGGGCCTTGAAAGCCGAGCGTGAGCTGCCACAGAGCTTTCAAAGTCAAAGTTGATTTCCTGCTCATATTGGGCATTGAGGCGGGCGGATCATCTCTCGCTGACAGCCCTGAAGCAGTGCTGGAAATCCCGCTCTCCTATCGCAGGGGAAAGTCTAACCAATAGGACAGCTACTGTGGACTTCGCCATCGAGTGATGCCTACTCGCTAACTTTTTGACCTCGGAGGAAGAATGACGGGCTGAGTCAAGCCCACCGACCAGGATTTGAACTCGCAAATTTGAACTCCCAAATTTGAACTCCCAAACTCCCAAATCCAGGTCGTCGGCGGCGGAGCGACCTCTCGCTTACCGACAAAGTTGGGTTTGCAGAATACGCTGTTGGAGAAGCAGGGGCCCTTGGTGATGGCTCCCACGCCCCCATTGCCACACTTGTCGCTGGACGTATTCCGCGGCATAGCCAACTGCGTGCTGGCGACCCAGCCGTACCTGGGTAAGCGCAAAGACAACAGGGCCACAGAGAGCGTGGCGCATCCGTAAGGGCGTCGCGGAGGCAGGCGGTGGCACGAGCCCGCAATAATCTAGCACTTTGTGGAGGCAAAGGGGTTTGTGGATCACGACGAGATTTGCGTTGACACTCCCGAAGAACTGTAATCATGCAAGCGATTCAAATCGCGGGTGGTGTCCGAGGGGGGTGGAGGAGGGGGTGCAAGGAGCCGGCTCAGGTCGGGTGTGACCTCCCGTGTCGGGTTTTTATTTTTCCCAGCCCAGAAATCAATGTAGCCGCCCAGGAGAACAGGTCTGTGTGTGTGTAGGTGCAATGAACTTCTTTCTCTCCGTACGTAGCCAACCGTGCTAATTGAGCAGCAGCAGGAGAAGCAGCGCCCACTGGGTGCACGACGAATCTCCCCTGCCCTACCCTTGCGCTCTCCCCATCAATGAATTCGTTACCAGCTCACGTCGCCGGCAATTATGAAACCTGGGTCAGAGCTCACTGGCAAACCCACACACCCCCGGATAAAAAAAAAAAATGCTCATGTTGTTATTGTTGTTGTACATTGTACATGATTAATGCGCGTGACCCCTGCAACCAATCGAGATGCTCGCGTTCCGCACAATGCACAAAACAATAATTAATTCTTGAATAGGGACGCCGATTGCAACAATAATATTTCGGGGTGGGAGGTGGAGGAGGAGGACTCTTTAGATGCTCATTCCGTCCGGCCTGCGAGGTGGTCACGAGTCAGCAGTAGAGAAGATAGATGAGTAAACCCCATCCGTGCAGAGTTTTGTCATCCCCTACATAGCTGTGGGGGTTTTCTCCTGGTACTCCGATTTTCCTCCCACGCAACATGTTCACTGATGGTTTAAGCTCATTCCGCACAGGACGCTTAAACAACGCTCGTACAACGTTTATACAACGCTTGTGCTGCACGTGCCCCATGGTGTACATGAAGAGCCCCTTGACTCTAACAGCTGGTGGCCAAGCCGTTCAATGGGCCACACACTCTGCTGACGATGCTTAAAAGGTCCATATCGATGCAGACGGCCCATGGAACGGATGGGCAAACCCTTATGTAACTTCACACGAAGATAGAAACTTGTTGCGTGTTTATTATTCATCTGTGTCTGTTACTCGCGAATGGAATTGGCCAGACAACCCACCGCAAGATCCCCCCCCCCCCCCTGCCAGCCTGCCACTCGATGCTACTTTTTTTTGGTTAAACGAATGACATTATTACCATTATGAGCACTAGTGTAGTAACATCACCAGCACCCAGAGTTCTTGGATTCAGATTTTATTTTAAGCCATTGGCATGCAACCTAAACAGTCGACATCATATATCTAACCTCCATGGTTATTCTTCCCTGTCTTTCAATGTAATCCCAGGCGTGCATCTGTCCATATCTCTTTCCATACTCCAAACAAACATACAAACATTCCCCATTTTGTTGTTGTTGTTGTCCTTTGTCGATGTCCTTGTTTGTGGATAACAGTGGTTCTTAGCCTTTTTCTGCAGCCTGCAGAAAGGACATCCCGCACCCCTAGGGGGTGCGTGCACCCAAGGTTAAGAACCACTGGTGTAAGGGATGGTGGCTGGTGGCCAAAGCAGAGAAACGCGCCCGAGATGACGTTCATTGCTGCGATGAAACCAACTCTTGGTCAGGCACAAGATGGGTTGTTGGAGCGCAGCAGGGCCACGAGAGATGGCAACAGCTTGAGGAGGCCTTCGTCTAACAGTGGCCGATGATGAAGATGGCACAAGACCTCCCTTAGACCCTGTCGGCCAAGTGCAAACGTGACGATGGCTCCGCAAGGATGCTTACAGTGAGTGAAGGGTTTAGAGACAGCGCCTTAGCTATCGATTTTCATCGGCGATTCGAGGTGTTTGCTATCCACTTACTAAACACCATCGGGCCGGTTAACCCATCGCGGGGTGAAGAGTTGCGCGCGGATCTGCGCAGCCCCACCAAATAGCGAACCCTTCACCGTTGCTGCAAAGCCTCAACCCCCTCATCCGGCACAACTCACTGGCAGGTCTGGAAGCCGGCGCGGATGGAGGCGTTGAGCTGCTCCATAGTGGCCAGGTTCACGCTGACGTTCTTCTGTTCCCCGTAACGCTGACACCATTCGTTCGCCTCGCCGAACGTCAAGTTGTTCTGGCCGGTCTGGAACAGGCCCAGTTTCACCAGACTGGGAGCGGACAGCGTGATGCTGCCGTTGACTGCTGTGTGTGTGTGTGGCAGACACAATGGGAGTGCAAATTGCGAAACGTTTGTCGAGTTGAGTTGAGCGTACATGCTATTTTTTGTTAGTTTAATAGGTAAGGCCCACTGAGCTATACATCTCTTATTCAGAAGCGACCTGGCCACAAATGATAGCTCAACGAAGTGGCTTATCATGTGGACATTTATCGCAGCCAAATACTATAAATGCACGTTTCTAAATGTGGAGGGAAAACCCGGAGGGCCCAGAGAGAAAAATCCACACGACCACGGGGAGAACTTGCAAACTCAAATAATACAGGCGTCAGGAGTCGGGATTGAACCCACGACCTCCTGTATACCAGGAGAGGTAGTTAACATCTCCTAGCCACCACTGGCACCCTCCTACAGCAGTAATACTGCCAGTGAGCTAGAAATCTTGAAATGCGGGATTCCTCCCTCAAAACTCAATCTTTATTTTTCCCCGAGCTCACCTCACGACCCCTTTAATCTCCAACTTTCTAACCACTACCACCGTTCCTGCTCCCCATTCACAATTCTCTCCACGGCCTACCGCTCATTCCCCATCCATCAAATCCATTCATCATCGTTTGCTTTCATCAATGTTGCTTTACCTTCATTCACGTATCACAGGTTCGCCCATTACCTCCTTTCAGCTCTTTCATTCACCTCATATTCACCATTGCACTCATACGTACTGTTGTTAATTCTCTGTAAAGTGCCTTGGTTAAGGCGTGATGCTATAACATTACGTAAAGATAAGATAGAATGAGAAAAAAAACCCAGAAACATTCACGGTGAAAAGATAGCATCTCGAATAAGCAACAATTACATTACCAACCCACAGGCTACCTGTCAAGTGTTGCAGTTTGAGTCACATCTGTTTAAACAATTAATATATATTCACAACAATATAGGGTGCTTCAAAAAATGTTAACATTTACGTGGGACTATCGTTGTTAGTGAAAAAGAGGAACGGATAATCCACTGTAACATGATAGCAAATGTAATGTTAATAGCTTCAAAAAGTCAACGAGTCTCCCCACGTGTTCGCCATCGTTGTCAACGCGTGCGCCGGAATCTTCTCCAGGTGCTCTCCAGAGATCCGGAGGCACAAACATTTATCGTGGTATTGTTGTTGTTGAAAATTCTCACAAGTGTTAAACATTTTTTTTTAAAGCACCCTGTATAGAGGGCAACAGGAAGGCCGATATGCAACCCTCCGAAGGGCCGACACGCACGTGAATCGTTGCGCTGTCCAGCAGTGATACAAGGAAACAGGGGAGGACCCGCACCTCCGATTAGCGCACCCGTTTGGCAACGTACGGTGCGAAAGAAGTTCAACGTACGCGTACGTACAAATAAGCGGGCGAGTACGAGAAAAGCTGAAGAGTGCTCAACGAAGCGAGATGCACGCTTAGAATTTAGGAAGAGGAGCATGCGGATTAGAGAACATACGTCGTTTAAAGACATCGCATCGTGCGTGAAAGTGAGAGCGGTGGGCGTCGCTCGAAGGGACGATGACCGAAGGTCAGGAAAACTTACGGAGCGGCAGCCAAGGGATGGAATGCGTCCGCGAGGACGTCAAATGTGTAGGCGGAGCGACGAAAGCGTGCTCGTGTTGCAGGCACAAAGCAAGTGGATTCGTCGTCGTTGTTTTGCGGGGGAAAGGCCACGTAATAGTTTGGCAGAACGTGTGTCGTCAAGACCCTCCACCACCACCACCACCACCCGACACAGCCACGCGGATTAAACCGCCACGTGCACAAGAAGTTTTAACATAGCCACTTCCGTGCCCTCGTCGATGAGGCCGCTTTCCTATCTTACAGTTACATGCTAATATCTCACATTAATATCACTAGCCCCGGCCACTTCTTTATGACCCTTGGGCTACACCCATTTCACACCTTTTAAAACAGTCTGCCTCAGCAGCAGGCCATGCTTTTCCCACCTGATGACGGACGCTTGTGTTGCGCCCGAAACGTCGTGATTTATTTTATTTTATAACTACGTGACTTTACCGAAAGAACCAAAGAGTATGTTTTAACGAGCCGATTATTTGCTGTTTCGGCTCACCGGTACGTGGAAGAACAATTCTCACAACCCATGTTGGCAATGATTTGTGTCATTTTGTTCGGAACAACGTCAAACAACGACTTCCTGGATCTTGTCCTGTTGCTGCTTGACGTAGTTGGAAGGAAACGCGGCATGAAATGGCTACATTTAGTTGAGAAAATTGTTCCTCGACTTACCTGCGAACTGAGACAATAACAATCGTGCACCGCGACAATGGCATGTTGTTTGTCTGTGCTGGGTGGCGGAGGGTCGTTACGACACACGTTTGGCCAAATCATACCGTGGCCGAGGCCAAAAATAAACGATAAATCACAACATCGCCTGTGAAACTCCCGACGTGTTACACTAGGTGTATTGTTGCGTCGCGAGATCGTGAGAGATGGTGACGGCTTAAGGCGGGGGGCTTCATCCAGCAGTGGATTGAACAAGGCCGCTGATTGATGATGACGACGGAGCGTGCGACTTTGAAAAAAAAATCCTTTTATTTGTAAAATGTTTAAGGCGTCAAGATAGCCAGGTGCTCTGCTAAGGTCGCGCTCCGCGGCTCTCGGATGCGTTTTCGGGTTGTGTTGTCCGGCACGAGGAGCAAAACGTCGGGCACCACGCCGATCATTAGCGGACAGGACGCGCGCCTTTGTAAACACATAGCGAGAGGTCGCGCTTAAAAAAATGTGCCCCCAAATTATTTCACAGCAACGTCGCAAACAACCTGAACACCAGACGGATGGGTGTCCTGCAGCAGCAGCAGCGGCGACACAAATATAATCACGAATTACCTTGGCCACTGCATCCGACGAAGAGAGACGTGGAGACGGCGCACGAAAGACACAGCAGCAGCAGCCGCATGATGATTGACGGTGATGGCAGGCACCGATGATGACCTCCGTTTGAGTGCGGGCCACAGCAGGGCTTTCGAGATGTCAAACACGGGGGGGGGTGTCGCAGGAGATTCCCAGGAGAGTCCCAGGAGGAGTATGAGGCAGCTCGGGCGAAAAAAACGAGAGGCGTTTATCGACTCACCTGAGCTTCCCTGCGACTGTGCGAGAAACCTCAACGAACAGCTAGACGCCACGGGGGTGGAGCTGGTGGAGGAGGTATTTGAAGTCCAGGTGTACCCAGGCGCGCGGCACTGCCCCTCGCTTGCGTCACTCGCGCGAGTACGCGCGGGCGACCGCTCCCACTCGCGATGCGACCACTGCTCTAACCGGTTCGCTGAGCGGTCCCAAGGCGCGACGCTTTGGCGTCATCGACGGCCGGAGGGAGGGAGGAGAGGTGCGCAAAGACATTCCTGAAGCCGCCGCACCTGCGCGCGCGCACGCGCGCGTGCATCGCGACATGGCACGCGCACACGGCGACGCAGCTGTGCGGTGTGCATGCTGAACTTCTTTTGCGCCGCACGAGGTCAACCCGTGCTAATCGGAGGTGCGGTGGGGGTGGTGGGGGGACAACAGCGCTCGCGTTGGCAGCGAATTAGAATCAGAATCTTGATTTATCCTGGTGAAAACCCGATGAGCTAAGGAAGCTCTTTTTCCACAGATTTCCAGTCGTGGTGGTGCACACATGAACGCAACTTTCTGACACGTTCATCAAGAACACCGCTGCGAAAAGAACACAGGAGGATTAAACAATAGACATAATAGGCGACGTTTCGGGCAATGGCCCCTTGTCTTCTGCTTATGAACGAGGGTCATTGCGTGACACGTCGCTTATTGAGACAATTGCCGGGCAGTGTGACATACGTTGAGGGCAGTGTTTGTTGACATGTGTGGAGTGCGTCGTATTTCTCGTTGCACGGAGGAGAGAAAGGGGACAGCGCCGCGTGTAATGTCGCGTGTAAATGAACGAGTAAGTAAGGACATTTGATTTTGCGCACTCTTATGAGTCCAGTCCATGATGAATGCGCATTGATCACACGTGCGATGCTACCGTGCTGTGTTATCAGAACGGGATTGCAAGCCAAAAGGTCGCCAATTCGATTTGACCAGGTAAGGCCCACTCAGCTATGTAGCTCTTTTTTCAGAAGCCACAAATTGATAACTCGACGAAGTGGCTTGTCGTGTGGAAATTCAAAGCAGCCAAGTATTGTTAACCCACGTTCATTCTCAATGTGGAGGGGGAAAAACCACGCGACCACTGGGAGAACATGCAAATTCCAGGGTTGGGATTGATCCCCACGGCCTCGTGTATAATAATGATAAATTATAATTTAACATTTATAAAGCGCCCTTAAACAATCGTTATCAGCAGCATATACCAGGCGAGGTAGTTAACGTCTCGCCACCGCGGCGCCCACATGACCAACACGGTGTGGCGAGGCCCTCCATCCAACTCGTGGCTTGACAAAGGACTGCAACGTCTCTTATCCATATAGGCTCATTGGGGGCAAGAGCTGTTAGCGAGCACCGATTTGGCGTGACGGCACAGCGCACACGAGGTGCCGGCGTGGCCAGAACCTCCGCCCAGCTGCTGGGGTGTATGATGAAACGCCACATCGGCAGTTCTGTTGAGGCTGAGTCAACGCAAACAAAGCCCTGGGGCCAGATTACAATCGATAACATTTCCGGGGGGCATTCTACGTTTTTGATCGAGCCATAAACTCGGGCTGGTGTGATTCAACAAGGCGGTGCGATAGAACAACCATAGCACGGATACCGACGACATCATACACGGGAATCAGTATCATCATCGCCGCCCATGATCTACCTGCTGCTCGACGGAGGCCTCCCTAAACCGCCGTCTTCTCTATAGTACAAGCCTCAACATGATGCCTCTGATTCGCGTGTTCTCCAATCCACGCGTTTCACTTCAATTCTCCCAAAGGAAATCCAAGCGCGTACCTACACGCTTCTTTCTGCACTTCGCGACTTAACCGCCTACAATTTACTGCGCATTGAAGATGGGGGCCCGAGTCAGCGATGAGCGTGACCGTCTTCAATGTTCGCATTGACGCTTTATTATCGCCGCACGTTGTGTGTGTACTCAAGATAATGCTGGGTTGTTTTTGTTCCTTAAGGAAGTTTGGCCCAGGGGAAGTCCTTCCAGTTTGCAAAGTTACAGTCGTATAGCTCCTGCCGTCTATTAATCTGAATGGGACCCTTAACCTAAAGGGAGGAGTCCTTGCTTATATAACATCTGGCAGTTGACCAGTTTTGATTCAAGTAAGCATCGCTCTGCTGATGAGATGCTACATGTCGAAATCAGTCCAGAATCTGCTTTTACAGAATGCTGCTGAAATGTTGCACTTTTAGAAGGCAGTGTGGCTGATGGGTAGTTTAAAATATAGTGGGGTTTTTTTAGTGAAGACAAATGAAGGAGACATTGCTTATCGAGTCTATTATGTACATTTATTTTATCAACGATATAACAACATTTAGATATCCCATGTGGACTGAGTAACAATACAAGCAATAGGTATAACTGTTACAACTGTTTGGGGTTTAATACTTTGTTTTACTAATGCCAATTAAAGCGATGTGTTTAATCCGTAGAGCTTGAAATTTAGCAGAATTAAATGTAACATCGTGTGTTTTCTGTGCGGGAATCGACGGAGCAGGCTCGATGAGGCCGTCAACTGGCCGCACCTGAGAACCCAGTTTCACCGCGGGCTGACGGAAACGCGGATTCAAACTCAGCCTGAGTGTTGCCAGACTCACGCTCGTACCACCGAGAGCCACCCGGGGAGCCACCCCCAACCCGGGGAGCCACCCGCCCCCTCGTGTGCCGTGCCGGCCTTCATAGGTGCTCGCAAACAGCACTTGCCCCAACAGTCTGTTACAGCCTACGCGGGGGCTCTTTGTATTTGTGTGTCAATGCTAAAGGAAGTCCCGACCCAAAAAACAAACAGACTTAGCAGACGCATTCCTGATCCGAGTGACGTTTACATCACGCGTACCTTTGAATCTTCGTGATTGACTAATCGCATTTAAAGTTACGTTAATGGGTGTTTAGAGTTGAGTCACTGCTGCTATAATCACCCAGGAACGTCTGTCCTTAACGCTCGTGACGTCACTCCACGTCGACCAGCCCCCCTAATTAATAATCATGAGCAGGTGACATCCACCACATGGGGCGGCGAGGCGCCTCCTCCCCCCTCCTCGGCGTCAACTCACAACCCTCACTACAAAGGCAGAACCCTCACGTCATCACGTGATCTCACTGCAAAGGCAGAACCCTCACGTCATCACGCGATCTCCGTAACGCTGTTGTTGAGACATCAAAGTAAAAAGGACGTCATGACGAACAATGGATTATAACCTTAATCCCTTGTTCATCATGTGCCACTGCCCCATTACAAACTGCGCACGCATTAATTAAATTAAAATCACGTCGCGGTCTGATTTTCGCGTGCAAGTTTCAGATTTACTGCAATACACCCGTCCTTGGATGGGCACAATGCTAGTTACTACTATAATGAGTCAAGAATGTCTGTGTGTCCCGCGCGTGACGTCACTCCACATGCCGCACCCCCCCCCCCCCGTAATTAATATTCATGAGCGGGTGGATTTTTACACTCGCGTAGAAGGTCGAGTGGAAAGAAATTATGTTTTCGCAAATTCGCTTTAAGTTTCACGTTTCTTTATTGAAAGTGAATCTAATAAATAATTCTACGCAGCAACAAAGTGGATTTGGTGTCTTTATTTATTTCTTCAGCACTTGGGACAAAAGGTAAATCTAATTTATGCTGCTACATTATGGTAAAATAGACATTTCTCGGTGATTTTCCAGATATTGTATCGAATCCAAATATATTTCAACCCCAGCGACCGAAAGCAGAACATAATAAAGTATCAGAGCAGTGAATTTGAACAAATTGAAGGTCACTTATATACAGTGCTGCAGTGACATGAAGTGAGATGTTTCATGAAATTCTTTCGTGCAAGATTCACTGCCATTAAATTTACACAAGATACAATTATTATTCTGCTCATTTTTTTCGTAAACATTACAGCTTCCGTCCTGGGACGTGAAGCTGCATTGCTACGAGCAGGATGTGCCGAACTGTAGCTTGGGAGCCGTAGTGACGAGATGTTAAATACCTCGCCTAGTATACAGGATGGCTGTAGGTTCGATCCCAAAACCCTGACGACGCCTGCATGTTTGGAGTTTGAGTGTCTCTCTCTCTCTCCCCGTGGTCGTGTCGATTTTTCTCCGGGTCCTCCGCTTTTTCCCCCTCCAGATTGAGAATCAACGCGCGTTCAGAGTATTTGGCTGCTATACCTTTCCACGCGATTAAGAGCCGTCCATAAATGACGTCACGCACCTAGGGGGGGTCAGACATTTGTGACGATGTGTGACGATGGGGGGGGGGGGGGGGGGGTGAGAAATGTGACGTCACATCAAAATGCGCAACTTTAAATAAACATAGACAACACGTTCTACTTAATTAAATACACTTTTTAATAAATGTTTCCTCCTACAACATCAGAGTGCAGCGCCACATTAAATACGCACTACAATGACAATAGTTTAAAGCAATTTGAAGCAGGTTTATTTTTTTTTCTTGGGGGGGGGGCAGAGTTTGTGATGTAATATTTGAGGGGGGTCTGACTTTTGTGACGCCGTGTGACGAAGGGGGGGGGGGTCAAAAATCGTCCAAAATCGCGTGACGTCATTTATGGACGGCCCCTAAGCCACTTGGTTGAGCTCTTTGTGGCCAGTTCGCTTCTGAAGTAAAGAGCTATACAACTCAGTGGGCTTTACCTGTTAAATAAAAAAGTTTAGGTTTTTTTTAGCCATTATTGTTTCCACTTACTTTAAATTGCTTTTTTGTTTGTTTCATCGTCAACAAAGCTTTGAGAGTCGCCCGAGAGGACACGGGTGTCTGCTGTGCAACAGCTGTACGGTGTGGAGTAGAGAATCGCGTTTTTGACGAGCTACCGCCTGGACATCCCACGGCTCTGCCCGTGCGAGAATCTTCCTCTTATTTCACTGCCTTAGGGAACCGCGAATGCTCAACTCCATCGGGTTAAGTGGTCGGTGGTTGTGCTGGACTGTGTATCGCTCCTCTTAACGGTGGTAGCCGCGGTGCTGCCCGGCGTGGTGTCCCGACGTTTCGCTCCGCGTGCTGGAAGCTTCTTCAGGAATGCAGCTTGCATCGTGTTTGTGTTTTGGGGTTGTGCGTGGCACTTACGCAACGTTTACAAGTCAATTATCGTCTCGGCTATGCGCTCGCGATGAGTATTCGGTTGATCCTCACAATAAGTTTGTGTGTGTGTGCCAATCCCGCGCCAAGTGCGTCAAGCGCGTTACGTGTGCACACTCTTTCCGCGAAATCACTTCAATCGTACACGTTACGCCCAAACCCTTTGGGTCTACCGACTGCTGGACGAGGGCCTCCCCACGCAACGCAGGTCGTGTGGGCGACAGTATTCGCCGCGTCGGTTGGTGTGGATTGGCGAAAGCGTGCGGCACAGAGGTGGGAGCATACAAGTTCAGTACAACACTGGATGCGTACTGCTCTGCTCTCTCCTGTCAACCACAAAGCCATGCATCCCTACGACAGCCAGCCTGCGCACGGTGTTCACCCAATCCAAGTGTAATGACGACCTTGCCACGCTTGTCTTGAGATGGTTTCTTCACTGCAGAGACACGTTCAATTTCAACAGGCGGAGACCCCCCACTGCAACAGCCCCGAGTCTCCCGCGCATCTCCCCCTTATATACGGTCCGAGGCCACGCCCCCATTCCCGAACCTTCTCGCAGGTTCTAGACCGCTCGCTCTACCGGCAGACTCCACCGTCCTCTTACATCACCTGGCCACGCTCCTATTCTCGATCGCTCCCGTGGCCACCAGTCCACTCACACTGCAGGCTGACTCCCCTGTCATCACCTCCCGTAGCTACCAGTCCACTTGCACTGCAGGCTGACTCCCCTGTCATTATCTCCCGTAGCCACCAGTCCACTCGCACTGCAGGCTGACTCCCCTGTCATTACCTCCCGTAGCCACCAGTCCACTCGCACTGCAGGCTGACTCCCCTGTCATTACCTCCCGTGCCACCAGTCCACTCGCACTGCAGGCTGACTCCCCTGTCATTACCTCCCGTGGCCAACAGTCCATTCGCATTGTAAGCTGACTCCCCTGTCATTACCTCCCGTGGCCACCAGTCCTTGCACACTGTAGGCTGACTCCCCTGCCATTACCTCTCGTGGGCACACACGCATTAACCAGGCATCAACGCTGCTCAGCTTCCCAGATCTGGTGAGATCAGACCACAATACCTCGCTGATCTCGTCAAGGAGCATATACCATCACGCGAACTTCGGGCATCCTCGCAGCGGCTTCTGGCTGGCCATCGAACAAAGGCGGTCACTGCATCGGGCACAATCAGATACACTTCTGCGGCCGTCTGGAACGCTCTTCCTTCCGGTATTAGAAAGCCACAGGGGCTATGCACTTTTAAAATAAGATTGGAAACTCATTTCTTTAGAACTGCTTTTTGCGTTCAGGTTCCTTTTGCCCTTAACTCGCACCATCGGGCATGACTTTGTGATCTGCAGTGACATGATAATTGGGATGTCTCTGTCATTGCTCAGGTTTATTTACTTTGGCACTCTGGTTCTTGCACGTCGGGGCTGTGTGCACGACCCAGGCTCAACCTTGCTAAGCCTTCCAAGGCCTGACGAGATGGGGAGCATTCCGGGTGATTTGGTCACACAGGGAGGATACCCACGACTTTTCAGTCCATTGCATCATTTAAAAAAAAACTTCTTTATTCGTCACAACAGTGGCAAAGTTACAACTTTACAACATCACACAAAACACGGGGTTCCAGGATTAGAGTTTTGCGGTGCGTGAGCGCGTCCTGTAAGGACAGCATCATCACACAACCCTGGTCTCTGTTAAGTTAAAAAGGAGAATAGTTTAAAATCAAACGAAATCGTAACTCCGACAAAGTGCAATTTGAGAACCGTACGACCGCACCTTTGCGCGGTGTTTGCAAAAAAAAGAAGACAATGGCCGGGCCGTGGCTCCAGACCAGCTTTTGTTAATCACAGGTGATGATGAGTAAGTGATGAAATAATTCATTCGTCAATTAGAGGAAAGTGAGAGGCGATGCTTATTGACCCGGTCACCTGGGAGGCTACAGCGGATACCCTAGATCCCTTTTCCAGCTGCCACGGCAGAGCTGCGATAGGGCAGCAGGCCTCTCGCGGTTCCAAGTGAAAACTCGGGCCTCATAACATCTTAATCTGGGCCGGAGGAGAGGGGGGGCCGAGCAGGGCCAGGGGGTGGGGGGGTTATTAATTTTCGTCAAAAACCCAACAACCTGCCGCTTTCCCTTCCGGGGCTGGTTGGGCACGGCTTGGTTATACCGTGGAAGAAACGGGATCTTAGTTGGAAAACCTGACGCGGATCTCACTGCCTAACTGACTTGGAGGTGCAGCATGGTCAACCGATACTTCCACACGCCGCCAACACAGTTTCTCTCTCTATGTTAAGCATCCAAGAAATGCATAGTCTCCCCCGGAGGGTAAAGCCACCTCCGTCTCCGCACCCTCTACGCACATCTCCATCGGCGACAGCTGTTGACGGAAGCAGTCACCGGCGATTCGCTACCGACTCAAAGGCAATTGCGAGCCATTGCGCCCGCATCGTCAGACTTGTTAGCATCGAGCTGGCAGCTCCGGTCAGCCAACCCGGTAGAGGCAAACAGCATCACATGGTGAGGAATGCGTCATCACAAACTAACGCAAGACGTGGTGGAGCGCAGGGAGGACCGACTCGCCAAGGAAAGACCGTGGCACAAGTCTATGGGACTCTATGCGAGTCGATGGGTCTCCGTGTAGTTCAGCGGATGACCGGGGCTGACCACATCCAACTCTCTGCACTCGAGATACTCCGTTTGGGGCTGAAACAACGGGAATCAAACCCCATGCTCTCAGTGGTGCCGGCTCAGTGGGAGCCACCCGGCCCCACCTCTGGCGAATTCTAACAATCTCACTCATGCCACCGTAAATTCGCGGGAATGGTAAGAGATTGCTCCCCCTCTCTTCCTCTTGGTAAAGTTCAAGGGACCGGTGCAAAGGTTGTCACCGAGACTCGCTACACGTGTGTACTCAAGCAGGTTGGGAAATATCATTCGGCCTCGACCGCCGGCGGCAGTTTTGTGTCGCGTCCACCTTGCGTTATGGACAAAGGTGGCACAAAAAGCACGGTGACCCAACTGTGCGCCTATTTTATCGCCAGCAACACCGTTTCAGCCGAGGCTTTCATCACAAAAAAAGAAACCACATTTTGTTGTTGTTGTTGTTGTATATCCGTGCGACGATCGGACGAAAGCAGCACGGACGGCCGCTGCATTGGGCATCTTCATCGGCTGGAATCACCGCGATGGGCAGCCGTAGCATCGGCAACATACACCACGTCCTGGGCTGCTTCTCCCTCGCCACACGCAAGACTACCCGAGGAGTGAGAAGGTGAGGGTGCACGGATCGTCACCAAGCAGGCAACGCGGGGAGTGGGAAGCCGGGAGAGGTGGAATGGAGAAGGTGGTGGCCCACGCATGCTGCGCACGTTCGACAGCTCTCAAAGCCACGTCCGGGAATGGTGATTTAACCTACCGAGTGTGTGCAGGCGGTCACGTGGGGGGGGGGGGGGGACGGCGCAGGCTACGAAGAGGGCGGAAAACTGGCGGAGGCGGTGGGGGCACCTTTTAAATCCACACAGCAGGGCCCATGTGAACCCCGCTACGCCACAGGCGGGGACGCATCACCACTGTTGGTCACTATTCATTCCCGTCGACACTCACCACCCCACGCCAGCCCAAGGGCCCAAAACGCCCAAGTCCCTCTCAGATCCGATCCCCGCGCCCGTTTCACCCCGCGGAAAATGTTCCTCGTGAACTTGCTCCACGGGCGCCGGCGCACGCGCCCATCCTCTGGCGACGAAGGCCACCCAAGGATTTTTCGTCGGGGGGCACGTCGTGGCACCAAGGACGGCCGCGCGTGGGAGGTGCAGTCTTCATCGGTTGAAATCACCGCTGCGACGGACAGCGGTCGCGATGTTCCCGGCTCGTCCGCTTCCACTCCAGTCGCCCGAGGGCCGAGCGACGGGCGCACGACAGGAGGCTCCTCTCGTCGTTCTCCCCTTTAGGACTTCCTCAGCTTCCCGGCCACTAAAAACAAACCAAAAGAGACCAATGAGGTTTCGAGGGCGGGTTTGTGGAATGCACCTTGTCCAGAGTCTATTAAGCTATTAAAACATTGGTTTTGATTTTACCAGCTAAGGCCTACTGGCCAAAAATTATAGCTCAACAAAGCGGCTTATCACGTGGAAATGAATAGCAGCCAAATCTTCTAAACGCGCGTTGATTCTAAATTTGGAATGAAAAATCTGGAGGACCCAGAGTAAATCCACGCGACCACGGGGAGAAAATGCAAACTCCAAATTTCCAGGCGTCAGGGTCGCGATCAAGCCCACGATCTCCTGCATTGCAGGTGAGGGAGTTAACATCTCGCCACCCTCTACTGAGACCTCTGAGGTCCACCGATCGTTGCCCCCCCCCTCCCCTGCTCGGCGTGACCCCGCTCCAGGCTGCCTCGCTGGGGTTGCCCACCAGGCTGCAGTCCGCACGGCGTCCTGGGGCCCCGGAGTCCCCTGCCCCTTGGAGGTCAGGAGGTCGCAGTCAGTGGAGACTTGGAAGTCCTGGGCTGAAGACCCCACCATCAGCTGTTTAGATTATTTGTCTGCTATAAATTTCCACGTAAGGCACTTTCGTTGAACTATTACTTGTAGCCACATCGCTTCTGATAAAGAGCTATATAGCTCAGTGGGCCTTACCTGGTAAAATAAAAAAAAGTTTTAGTTTTTTTGTTTAGTTTAACACGGCATCTCTCTCTCTCGAGTTCTCTATCTAATTTCTTGAGTCTCTCTCTCCCCCAGTATTTTTTCCTCTACATCGACGGCACTGAGATGTATATCGTTTAAGGGCGCCTTATACATTGTAGTTCCATTTTTTGTGATGACGCATCGCGCCGTGCGACCTTTGCGTCAACTCAACTCGTCCACGACTGGGTTACGCCGATACGCTGATCGGGCCTCGGCGTCGCTCCTGCCGGATCGTTGTGTAAATGCTCGGTAGCGTGGCTACGTCGAAGCCTAAAACGGTCTGTACACCTCGGAGGAGGAAGTAGAATTCATGTGATCAGCTCAGGTTTACAATCTTTCGCATAAACTAAAACCGGTTTCGTCCTCGCGAAGAGCGACGGCTGGCAGGCTCTACCGCAGCCCCCCTCAGCCCTGACCACGCCGCTGTCCGCACTCAAGACAGGTCTGCCAAGTCACCACCAAGGCTCCAATCTGGTTCACCCGTGACTGTGCACACGGTGATCTAGAATAGCCCCGAGGGACGTGACAAAAGTCTGCTTTAGCTTCTGAGATGTAACGACGTCAGATACATTGTGGGAGATTTAGTCATAGGCAGGCCGGCTCACTATTATTATCACGAGTGACGATATGACCTGGGTTCGTCTCTCTCGTGGTTAAAGAAAACCAGCCACTGTTGCGAAATATTCTCCCAATATGGTGGGGTTGGAGGGGGGGGGGGCCGAGACCCGACCCCAGCACCGATATGGTGGCAGCGTCACTCACGTGAGATTCTCTTCTTCACTTTCTCTTTCCGCAGGTTCTCTTGGACCTTCTGCTCAAACAGTCCTGGGGGGGGGGGAAACAGAGGCACAGCCACTGTTAAAATGACAGCCACCGCGACTTACACGATTCAAACAACAACAACGGTTTCAACTTGTGCTTTGTTTGTTATTACAGGAAGCACAAATCGTAATGGCAAACTTGTTTCACAGGTTCAGTGTCTCCCACAGGACGCTTGCTAGCGGCAATATCCAGTCACAGGTGTGCACAGCATTGCCATCAACAGCCATGACCAATCCACTGCTGGATAAAGGCCGCTCCCAGCCTCGTGGGTGGAGGGCGAGACCGTGTACACAAACGTCACGAGGGCGAGATCACTCGTGCATCAAGCGCGCAGCATCACGTGCTGAAGCTCATTTATCACGAATATTGAATAACTTTTTTTCAGCTGTATGTGGCCAATGCCATCTTCTAAGCTTCCGCTGGCTGTGAATATTAAACGCACTCCAAATTAATGACACGTCCACGAGACCTCAACGGTTATGGGTTGGAACCGACGCACGCTGATGCATTACGAAAGCGTACTTTAAACGCACTCCAGGTACAGAGGGGCATGCTCAGACATGCTCGACTTCTATGCACTTTCAAATCTAGGTTGAAAACTCATTTTCTTTAGAACTCGGTTTTCTATGCATGTTGAACTTATTTCGCGCCGCACGTAGCCGCGTGTTTAGTTCGTGTCGCTCCCCCCCCACACCTCCGAGTAGCACGGTTGCCTACGTACGATGCGAAAGAAGTTCAACATACACACATACACCCGTCACTTCGGTGGTGTTTGTCAGCTGCATAAATTCACGCGCACTTCAGTGACACCAAGTGACGCCGCTGCCGCACTCACTCGCGCAACCGCCGCACGCACGCTCGCTCCGTGACAGTGAGTGGCAGGAAACGCTGCCCACCGTCAGCACTCATGTTTCATGCATGTTTCATGCATGTTTTCTGGATGAAGGTGGCCAGGCCGGGAATTCAGGCGTACCGGTCTTACGTTTTGTACCGACGCACAAAACTAGTACGCACGACAACTGCACGCAGGGACCGGGACCGGGACCGGCATGGGTTTGTTTTTTTCCATTACGCGCGTCATCGATGTGCGGCGTCATCAGCACCCCGTCGTGTCGTCAGAGATGCCGGCGGCAATTTCTACGGCGACGATGATGACATTGACGACAATGACGGGCGGGGGTTCAAACAGGAAAATCTACATTCGCAAGATGGAGAATTCAGAAGAAATAAAAAACACTTGCCCTGAGTTTTATCACAGGCAGTTAAATCCCAGAAACCCAGATTCCAACACAGGATATCTCAATGGTGCTGCTCAGAACTCTGAACTCTGAAACCAACCTGGTCATCTCCATTATGATTATTTTGCTTTGTTTACCCAGGGGAAGCCTCACTGAGTCTCAAGGCTCTTTTTTCAGGAGGTTCCAGTCTTATTTTTTTTTCGCAGTAGGGGCCATTGTTGCTGGTGCCGCGTAATCCCAATTGAGAAATTTGCAGATAACTTTTTGTGTGCGTGTATATATACATATTTTAAAGCATGTTCATCGTCGCTTAAAACGACCGTTCGCAGAGATCCATTGGCTACAACTCTGCGATCTATGTGGTCGTTAAGAGGGGCTCTACTGTATATAGGTACAATCAGGCGAACATTGGGGCGCGGTAAAAAAAATCAAACCCAACAAACAAAAATAGAAGAGCCGGATCTCTCCAATGCGATCTCCGGAAAAATTAATCGGTCGCTACCGTTTCCCCCCCACGCCCCCCCCCCACCCCACGTCCCCCCCCCCCCACGTCCCCCCCCCCGTCCCCCCCCCCACGTCCCCCCCCCCCCCACGTCCCCCCCCCCCCCACACATCCACCCCCGACACCCCTGCTCTCTCTGGGCCACCAAGCGAAGCTCGTGGAAGCCGGCACGCGGCGCTCAATGCGCGCGTCTCACCCTGCGTGGGGGTGCAGCCCTGCTCGCGCTCCTGGATGAAGCCTTGGAAGGCCTGCGTCTGCACGAAGACTTTGAGGAAGTGGCGCGTGGAGCGCGACGCCAGCGCCTTGCGGAACTGGCGACTGTCGAACTGCTGCGGGCGACCCTCGGTGCCCACGTGGTGGGGGTAGTGCCCCACCAGCTGCAGGTGCAGCTCGATGAAGGCGGCCGACACCTCCTTGTTCAGGCTGGCGGACGCCGACGGCGCTGAGGAGCAGGAGGAGGAGGTAGAGGGTAAATTCGGCGTCTCGTTAGGATCGATCGATCGACCGACCTTTTCGTTCGCGTTGACTCAACTCGTCCTCGACTGGGTTACGCTGATCGGGCATGGCTACGTCAAAACCTAAAGTGGTCTGTACACCTGGGAGGAGGAAGTCGAATTCACGTGATCAGCTCAGGTTGACAATCTTTCGCATAAACTAAAACGGTTTTTATTTTACCAGGCAAGGCCCACTGAGCTGTACAGCTCTTTTCTAGAAGTGATATGGCCACAAATGATAGCTCAACGAAGTGTCTTATCACGTGGGAACTACAGCAGCCAAATACTCGAAAAGCACCTTTCTAAATGTGCAGTACAAAACCAGAGGAACCGGAGAAAAATCCACGCGACCACAGGGAGAACAGCGCAAATTCCCAATATACAGCAGCAGGCGTCACGGTCAGGATGGGCCCCCGCGACCTCCTGTATACCAGGGCGAGGTAGCTTACATCACGCCACCACCGGTAGCTGAGATGACCTAACTTACGTGGGCGCACGTCGGCGGTCCGGCACTGTGGAGGCGACCGTTGGGCATGGCCGCAAATGCATTGAGAAACTCCGTGCCCTTGGTTGTACAGGCGCCATACGCCGGGCTCGTAAAGGAGAAGGCAGTAGAAACAAACATTGTGGGGCGCCACCACTTCCGTCTGCATGGGAGAGTTATTGCCCCCTCGCACGTGTGCGGTTCACCCCCCCCCCACCCCGGGCGCTCCGCTTTCCTCCGCATTCATCGATTGTCCGATAACACCTTGATACGTAGAGGGGCACAGAGCTTGGGCAATTGTTGGCGCGCTGGCTAATTGCGTCGCTGCCATCCTACCGGCTTCGAGTATTTGGCTGCGACAGATTTCCAAATGGTAGGCCACTTTCGTTGGGCTATATCATTTGTGGCCAGGTCGCGTCTGAAAGAGGGGCTAATAGAGCTCGGCGGACCTTCCCCGATTGAAACAAAAACAATTAGTTTGTGTTGTGGTTACTCGCGCCTCTGAGTCGATCTCTGTGAGAGCGAGCGAACGCTGTGCGGCGCGCGTTAGGGGTTGAACTTCATACTGACACCCTTCATCATCACCGTCAACATCAGCGATCTACCCGCAGCTGCATAAAGACCCCCGACCTAAGCCAACAATGCTGCCACACCGTCACGTGATGTAATAATCCATCTCGCTCCTACGCACGTGCGCCGACGCCACTGCTGCATGCACGCTTTTGTCATGACGGACGTCGTCTTGGGCGTGTTCACTCCTTTGACAGCCGCTCTGTCGTTAGTCTCGACCCTGGGTCGTCATCCCCCTTCCAGGCACGTGTCCTGTCCAAGCGCACTTACATTTTTCTTAAAAGTCAACGTGTCAATCCTGGCCACGGGCTAACTTTAGGGTTCTGACTCACAGTCGCCGCTCCGCTCGTAGCGCTCGAAGCACCTCCTGAGCTCCTCCACGAGCGGCGTCTGGAGCTTGTGCGGCAGCAGCGTGAACTCGTCGCCCACCTGGGAACAGAGGAGAGGGACTCACGTGTGCACGGGTAACACGTGTGTGTGTGTGTGTGCGCATGGGTAACACGTGTGTGTGTGTGTGTGTGACACGTGTGCAAGTGACGGGAGTGTGAGCAACGTGTCTGTGAGTGACGCGTGTGTGAGTGACGTGCGAGTGACACGCGTGTGTGAGTGATGTGTCCGAGTGGCACGTGCGCGTGTTCATTCATTCTCATTACCTTTTTGAGAAATTTTTTTTTACACAAATCCACCAACAGAACCTGAAAGAGAGCAATGGCGCACGACTCAGCTACCAAGGACACTTTGAAAACATTTGAATGGGTTGAATATCAAAACAAAAACATTAAAATCCCTGATTTAAAGCTTTCGTGACTGCAGTAATTCATATTCTTAGTTTTTTTCGGTAAAGTCACGTTGAAGAGAAACAACAAAATAACAAAATATATATAAAACAATAAAAAATTCTCACGACGTTTCGACCATAACTCAAACGGTCATCATCAGGTGTGTCGGTTTGCATAAATTTATTTTGAAAACGGCATATTTATTTATTTATTTATATTAAAATATATATATATATAACGTTTGCGTCACGCGCAACGATTGGCAGTTTGCCCAGGACTAGTCCATCTATTTTTTGAAAAGAGGAGGGGGGAGACGAAATTTGTTTTTATGTATGCTGTCTGAAAGCCACTGTAAGCGTGAACAATCAATCAAGAACTGAAATGATTTATCAAATCTTTCCAATGATTGCTAAGATAGAATCCATCTTCTCGGTTGAAATTGTCTCTGTGTTTGTATATGTGTATATGTGGATACAAACACAGAGACAATTTCAACCGAGAAGATGGATTCTATCTTAGCAATCATTGGAAAGATTTGATAAATCATTTCAGTTCTTGATTGATTGTTCACGCTTACAGTGGCTTTCAGACAGCATACATAAAAACAAATTTCGTCTCCCCCCTCCTCTTTTCAAAAAATAGATGGACTAGTCCTGGGCAAACTGCCAATCGTTGCGCGTGACGCAAACGTTATTTTTTTATATATAAATAAATAAATATGCCGTTTTCAAAATAAATTTATGCAAACCGACACACCTGATGATGACCGTTTGAGTTATGGTCGAAACGTCGTGAGAATTTTTTATTGTTTTATATATATTTTGTTATTTTGTTGCTTCTCTTCAACGTGACTTTACCGAAAAAACTAAGAATATTAAAATCCCTTTCGCAATCCACTGCCGGATGAAGGCCTCCCCACGAATGCACGGTGCTGCGCCGGTTGTGCACAACCCTGCCAGGTCACGCGCTCGCCCGCACAATTGCCAGAACGTGCTCCCTGGACAGAAGCTCACTTCACTCTCTGCTGCCTGCATATGGAGCTGCCTCCGCTGAATACTGTCGGCGGAATTACCGGTTCTGGTCTTCAGGCCTTCAAATGCCGAGCTCACACATGGACATCTCCTAACGTCACCGCATGCCCTGTAGGACCGAGTCTTTGAGCTGCAGTGAAGCGATGATTCTGCCGATTAAATGTACTACTGTCTGATATAGCGATTGTTCACAATTGCACCCAATTATCAAAAAAACGCCCTGTTGTCACGGACGGGGGGGGGGGTTGTTTGACCATACTTCACCACGCTGGTCAAGTCAGGGAGCATAGAAGTTAGATTAGAGTACAGTACAACGATATAATTTGCTGCGTTGCCCTCTGCTGATGATGTAGCACCGCACAGGCACTAGCCAGTCACTATCCAGGCTCAGCTTTGGAGATCTCACGAGAATGGAGAGGACAGAGCAGAGGTAGGAGAGTGTGCGTAGAGGGGAGTCGAGAGAGACGAGCGATGACAAGAGAGCGCGTGGAGGGAAATCGAGATGAGCGGGGGAATGCAGTTGGATGAGATGAGGGGGAGAGATAGGAAGAGCGTGTGGATGGGAGAAGAGTGAGGCGAGAGAGGAGAGGTAGGAGAGGGTGTGGAGGAGAGTAGAGCGAGGCGAGGCGTGTGCCCTCACCTCCTCCATGGGCTGCCCATCGAGCAGGCCGAGCGAGCTGCTCTGCAGGCCCATGATGAACGGCGTGGGGGAGCACACGGTGTCGATGAGGGAGGGCGGCAGCACGGGGATGTAGGTGTGCTGCCACGAGAATGGGTAGAGCAGCGCCACCACCGCGTGGATGCACCGCGACAGCTGGCTACAACAACAACAACAACAAAACAACAACAACAACAACGTCGTCATCTGGGGAAGCACGGAGAACCGTAAGAATCTTGTTGTTGTTTTTTTTTTGCGGGACCCAATAGCCAGAGAATGGTTCATTCGATAGTTGGGATGAATGGTCGATTAAATCAATCAACTGAAACGTGTAATAAACGCATTTTTCTTTTGTCGTCCACGACTCAGACTTCTTTATAAATTGAACCCCCCCCCACCACATCCTGTCTCTCGATGGCGGCAACCCAAATCCTCCCCTCTGTAAACCACGCCATGCGTACTGCCGTCGATGATTTCTCTCTTGCCAAAGCTGCTCAAGAACCTCCCGATTGCTATTTTCCACGCAACCGAATTCCCCCATTTCTCGCCGTCGATAGAAAGGGCAAACGGCGTGGGAACGGAGAAACTCGCTCGCGGTTAACTTCGCGGTCCCGACAGCGGCATACGCGGGGGAGGAGGGGGGGGTGCCGCTCTTGCGTTGACACACCGCTCGCTCCGTCTCACCTGAGCTCCTGGGCCACGAGGATGACTCTGCGCTCGAGCAGCAGCGACACGAACACCTGCACCACCTGCTCGACGGAGAGGCTGGAGAAGAGCGTGCCCAGCTCCACGTGCTCCAGCCGCGAGTCCAGAGGCCGGGTCAGCTTGATCGTCTGCGCGACAGCGAGCGGGTGAGCGATTGCGTCCGAAACAAACCCGGAGTGTCGGGGGGGGCTCTATGGGGGATGGGCCCCCCTGCACCCCCCTCCATGATGAATGCTCATCTCCACTCCCGACTTCTAAATACTTAGCGGTATTTTTTCGAAGTTCGTCCGTTCGGCGAGCACCCATAACTGTAACTTCACCGTTCGCCGATCGACCGATGCGCTCGCCAACAGCCACTTAAGAGGCGCTACGTGTGTCAGCTCCCCATAAGTGTACTGCTGTGTACACAAGCCCAGCCGCCCAGCCATGTTTGGAGAGGGGGCCGGACAAAATGCGCAACGGAGTACAATTAAGAGGAGGGTGGCGCAGCCTTTTCCTCATACACACGGGGGTGGGGGGGGGGGAGCGACAGCGTTTCACACTCGTTGAAAGTTTATTTAACAATGTCGATGCCCCTTGGTGGGAGGGAGGGATGGGGGGGCGGGGGGGGGGGGGGGGCGAGGGGGGGGGTGGAAACTCACCTCCGTGCCGCGACCCGGAATGAAACTCTGCACTTTGACGGTTTTCCCCGGTGCCGGGAAGGGCGCGTCCTTAAGGGCCCGCACAAACGGGTACACCATGGCCAACGAGATCTTCCTCCTCGTCTCCACCTCCTCCAAAATCTTCACAAGGGGTTGGGGGGCGGGAGGGGAAGGAGGGGGGCGGGAGGGGAGGGTATCAGGAGATGCAGGGAAAGCGAGCCGCTTTGCCAGAGCGGCAAGGCACGCGAGACAAGTGGCGCGCGAGGAAAGCGTCTTGCGGGCGTACCGTGGAGAAGAGCTCGAAGCAGCCAAGTCGGCTGATGATGCAGTAAACCTCTGACGACCGGTCCTCCTTTCCTTCTGGCTGAAACAACAACAACAACAGCAGCGATACTTTTCACTTTTTGGACCTTTTCTCTCTCAAATTTATCCCAATTGTGCCATCAGAGAAATGTCAGAGCAGTGGAACCCTTCTTGTTAGAGAACGGCCCATGGAACCGGATATCACAGAGCTGCCACTGATATCTCTTCAAGTGACCTCTGGTCCACACAGCAGAGGGCAGTTCGTTCTCACTCGCCCTGCGACAAAGAGTATTAATCTTCGACAGCCAAACTCATATTTTAAACCTGAAAGATGGAATTTGACTAAATTAAAAACAGAAGCAAATTTAAAGCATATTTTTTATTGCGTTTGTCTTTGTGTGCGGTCATTGGCGGCCCGTCTAAGACCTTCAACTCCCTACGCCTTGAGAAACAGCTTTAAATCACAGGCTGGTGTCTGGATTTGAACCAGGGTTCGCAGTGGTGGCAGGTCAGTGCTACGACCTCCGAGCCAACCGGTCACCTCAACAACGGACACTTGTGATGACACCGCAGAGAGAGGGAGGCCGCGTACAGGACGGAGCTGCAGCTGGACCGCAGTCGTTCGGCCAAATGAACGCGTCGATCCAACAATTCAACTCAAAACTCTTACGCTCGTGATAGGTGCATCCAATCGTGCGCGCGAGAACCAATTAATTACGCACGTTGCATGATCCAGAACGCTGTGCTACTGCGCCAAGCACATTTCAAACTTTTACAAGCTGGACAGAAAAGCCACACAGGTGTGGATGACGGGTACGGTGGGTCAGAGTGGCGAAAGTGACATAGATCTTAACTGTTAACGTAATATTATCATCATGTCAAGCGTGAACTACAGGCGCACACTTCCATATACAATCTACCGCATGTTAACGAGTAGGGGTGTAACGATTCATGGGCTCACTGATTAATGGCAATTCTTAAAGGTCGCGATAACGTGCGTTGAACCGCGTAAGAAACTCTACTTTTGTATTCACGTACGTGGCACGTAAAGAGGTCACACGTGACCCCTCCAGCCAGGAGAGGCGCCACCGTTCACCTTCGTGCAACAAGATAATTAACTCATGAATCGAACTGCGACCCTGTAATTATGACCATTCAGCGAAAATCACCGAGTAGCGTGGGGAGAGGATCATTCTACCCCTAACCCCCCCCCCCGTTAAATTCATCCACCTGCCGCCAGCCGAAAACGAATCTCCGAAACAATGGGGGTGGCCAAACGCAGCAGCGCTTTCTCACGAGCATTATTCTCATTCCCAGCAGCAGCGCTGCATACCCCCAACAGCAGCAACACCCAACGGCAGCAACACCCAACGGCAGCAACACCCAACGGCAGCAACACCCAACGGCAGCAACACCCAAGGAAAAGAGAAGTAATTTCTAGTTGTCAGCCCGAAAATGTCTTCGGCAATGAGGAACAACTCTTTTTATCGGGTTTAAAAAATATATATACACGTAAAGAACAAGAGACAGTTTGGTTCCTTAAACGGTGGTATGATAGACAGGATACAGTGTTGATACGGCTCCTGTCAGTCTCTCTTGTTTCTGTAATGCGTCGTGATTCTGTGGCCGACTCCCTGGGCCCCTTTAAACCCGGTGTGTGTGCGTGTGTCTTATCGTCACCATCTCACTATTGCACCCGTCTGTCCCTTCACCCAATCATGATGCTATATTTGGAAAAATTTAGCTGGCTGGCCGGTTATCTGGCGCGCGGTAACGTCACCGCGTCGTGCTGACACCACGTCCCCCCCCCTCACCCACCCTCCAACCCAGATGTGTATCCTATGCAAATGCCTGGGCAGTGCTGGTACACATTCAAGAATATATATGTAAAACAAATTTACCTGGATAATCCCCTCGGATGGAACATCTCGTTTACCAATGTCCAGGGTGTAAAGCAACACACAGATAAGAGAGACGTAATGCCACGTGTACACAAACATTCAGAAATCGACAGGATGCGCAGCAGTACATGTTCATACATCGCCACGTACATTTATGCAGCGTAAGGGCAGGGGACAAGGCAGCGCCAAATGAGCATCACACCGCTCATATTTTAGTACGGAGAATGTGTTTTTCACCGCATGAGATACCCATTGAGACTTCGAGTCTCTGTTTCTAAGCAGCCCTATGCTACAATCGCAGAGCAAACACAACAGCAACCACGACAGAGGCAGCACTGTAAAACACTTGCAAAAAAACACAAAAAATTACAAACGCCAAATATAAACGCACAAAATAGATGCAATATCGGAGTAAACATTTTACAGGGTTAAAAAAAAAATCTACCACGAATCGGCGATAGAAAACAGCTAACCACGGCCTCTTTCTCGTTTCTCCAAACCTCTGTTCCCAGGAAACACAACACACAGTTTGCTGCCTTGTGTAAGTCGGCACAAACAAATTGTCCCATGCACGAGCAACTATGCAGGTTAATGCGGGAGGGAAGGGGGGCGGGGGGTTACCCTGCTCAGCACTCGTCTCAGATCTTGGGATTGAAAAAAAAAAGCCCTTTTCGATCGTGACCTCAGTCCATGATCGAGGAAAGTGAATTTAAAAAAAATCAGCAGTTACTGGCGAGGAGGGGGTGTCCTGAGGACTGGAGTTGAGAAACGCCTGTCTGCACGACCCCTTGTCACGATAGGAGTAGTAGTGTGCGTGTGTACGTGTGTGCACGTGTTTGTGGGTTTTGAAGGGGGCGTGGGAGCATGGCGGTGAGGTGTGGGAAGCTGTAAGCCCCAGGCTACTTTGGGCTCATCTTCCCATCAACCGGAGGCGAGGAGTGGTGGTTGTGGTTACTTATGCCCCCACCGAAGACGAACATCCGTGAAGGGATGCAGGCAAAGCCGATGAGTCAGATGACTTCTATGACCTGTCACAGGTGCTGGCTAAAGTGGCCCCTCGGGAGAGAGTTATCTTGTTGGGTGAACTCAATGCCCGAGTTGGTCATGATGCTGGCACCTGGTCTGGAGTGATTGGAGGGCATGGGCCAGATCAGCTCAATAAGGGTAAGAGGCTGCTAGATTTTTATACAGACCATGGGCTTGTAATTATCAACACGCTGTTCCGGCATCGGCGCATCCACACAACATCATGGATGCATGCCGGATCCAAGCAAGAACATCTGCTGGACTACATAGTGATGGACCAGCGGATGCGAGCCCATGTCCTTGACACCAGGACCTACCATGGAGCTGATCTGCCCTCTGACCATTCACTAGTCATCTGTAAGATGCGCCTGCCATTCTTCCACTCCGGTGGTGGGTGTACACCCAGGACCCCATTCCGACCTAAAGTGGCTTGGTCTCAGTTATCTGATGAAAGTTGCAAGCGAGAATTTCATCATCGCTTGCGGCTGGGGTTGGCATCGTCCCCCACTCCTCCTGATGTCGAGGGTAAATGGGCGAGGTTTAGGACTGTGACTCATGCAGCTGCAATGGCTGCTTTGGGTACGCGGTCCAGGCCTCCCCAGAGACCCTGGCTGACAGAGGAGGTGTTCAGGATAGTTGAGAAAGAGCGACAGGCCCACTGTCATCGGCTACAGAATCCCACGTCAGAGAATGAGGCGGCTTACCGCAGCCTTCGCTCGGAGGTTCGGAGAGCCGTGAGGCGCTGCAAGGATGGGTGGTGGTCACGGGTTGCTGAGGAGATGGAGTCTGCCTCAGTGGCCCGCGATCACAAATCTCTATTTAATTCTATCAAAAAAGTAACCTGCAGTGCCACACCTATTACCATCATTAGGGAATAAAACGGTGATCCAATCTCCAACCCCCAGGAACAGGTTTGCAGATTTGCTGAGCATTTCTGTGAGGTCCTGGGGGAGGGGAAATCCCTCAGCCAGGAAAATATCGTGGCACAAAGTGGGGATGACCCTGCTGAGGCTGCGGTGCCTCAAATATTGGAGGAAGTCACCCCCTGTGAGTGACTGGCTGAGGTGCCATCTGTTGAGGAAGTACTGAAGGCAATCCAGAGTCTGAGACCAGACTCCGGATCGCTTGAGAGATGATCTCCCAAGCGAAATGCTGAGGGAGGGTGGCGTTTGTGCACAGGCTGCCCTATATGACATCATAACAACAGTTTGGACCACTGGACGGGTTCCGCAGGATTGGAAGGATGCCCTGGTGGTCCCCCTCTTTAAGAAGGGGGACGGCACAGACTGTAACAACTACAGGGGCATCTCACTCCTCAGTGTGCCGGGAAAGGTCCTGGCAAGGATGATTAAACATCGCCTTGCCAGGCACGCTGAGGAGAGGCTTTCAGGGCCCCAATGCGGTTTCAGGAATGGGCGGTCCTGCACAGATGCCATATTTTCTGTCCGTCTGCTATAGCAGAGGTGTAGGGAATTCCAGCAAACCCTACATCTCTGCTTTATTGACCTGGTCAAGGCCTATGATACCATCAGTAGGCCTGGGCTCTGGGTTGTTTTTCGTGCTTTTGGAGTCCCTGACCCTCTGCTCACGATCATTAAGGACCTTCATGATGGTGAGCGGGCCTGGGTAAAACTATGTGGCCGGGAGTCAGAGCCATTCCCTGTACACCTTGGGGTGCGACAGGGATGTCCTCTGGCTCCCACAATATTTAGCATCTATTTTGAACACGTAGTTCGTGAAGCCTTCAATAGCTGTACCGGGGAAATCTCCATTTGGCTGATCGATGCCCGGGTGTGGTCAGGGGATGGCTCCCTATTGCTCAACCACGTTATGTATGCCGATGATTTTGTAATAGCTGCTCATTCAGAGGAGGAGTTGGAGACGCTGCTGCTGAGACTGGAGCGTGCCACTAAGAGATGGGGCCTTACCATCAGCCCCACCAAAACTAAGCACCTGCCTGGGTATTTTGTACCATCGGACACTCCACCCCCACAACTCCCAATCGGTGATGGGGCAGTTGTGGAGAAAGTGTAGAGTTTCCCATACCCGGGCAGTGTGCTTATGACTGACTTTAGTTTAACAGCAGAGGTCTCACTCCGAATCAGTCGAGTGGCAATATCTTTTCATCGGTTGCGTAACGCTGTGTGGAAGCTACCTGGTCTGTCGCTCCGCACTAAGCTTCAGGTCTTTTCGGCCACAGTCATTCCCTCCCTTCTCTACGCTTGAGAAACGTGGATCCCACTAATGGAACATCTTCGCCGGTTAGAAACATTTAGGCTAGCCCACCTACGATCCATCCTGGGTTTAACCAGGCTGGATTGTGTGAGGAGCTCACAAATCCTTGAAAGATCTGGGCAAGGTCCCATCGGTGAGCTCCTCCGGCAGGGAAGGCTGCGATGGCTGGGTAATGTAGCCCGCATGCCCAGCCACCGCATGCCCGAAACAGCTTTTGTTCGGCCGGATCGAGGGGGCTAAACGGGCGCGGCACGGGCTAGAGAAGAGATGGAGTGATGTGGTACAGGAGGACGTGGAGCTGAGTGGACTTGCCGATGAATGGTACCAGCGGTGTCAAGATCGGCCTCTGTGGAGGAGCCTCGTGAAGGATGCTACTGGGCAGTTGGAGGCAGTCGCCCTCCAACAACAACGGAGGGCGGAGGAGCGACGCTCACAACAACGAGCGGAGCGCTGGGTGGCTAAAGCACAGCAGGTTGGCACAGTAGGGGGCACAGGTGGTGCATCAGCCAGTCATCTCAGTCATTTTAGTCAATCGACCCGTGGCACTTGGGTCTGCCCCGTGACCTCCTGCCAGCAGGCGTTCGACACTTCACGTAGCCTCAAGGCGCACATGGCCTGGCACAGGCCTCGTGGTGACGTCACCGCCACTTAGTGGCGAATGGCGGTTGTTGTTGCTGTGGGTTTTGCATGGTGGCGAGCACACGTGGGTGCATCTGTCAGGTAACTCAGGCACGCACGTACGTACGGTGAACTTCTTTCGCGCACCGTACATAACAAACCGTGGTAACCAAAAATGTTCTGGGCGTGTCCCCGTGACCTCCTTCCAGCGATACTTCTACCCTTCACGTGGCCTCAAAGCGCACATAGCCCGGGCAAAGGCGCTGCGGTGACATGGACGCCACTTTAGCGGGGAACGACGGGCGCGGCCGTTGCCGTGTAGGTTTTTGCCATCCGAGACACCTACCAAGAAGCGACGGCAGTATCCGAAGCGGCGGGACCCGTCGATGTTGGTCAGCATAAACGAGAACGTCTCGCTGTGGGGCGAGAGAGAGAGAACAATGGTCGCATCGTTAACGCGGCGCAATCATTTACAGCGACCCCTCGCTGCCGCTGCTGCTGCTGCTGCTTTACCCGATAACCACGAATGTGCCCGATTGCATCATATCGCAGAAGCTAAGGCGGTTGGAGACCCGGTTAGCACCCGGATGGAAGGTGGAAGGCTGCCTGGAATAGAGTGGGAGCTGTGTGCGTGGAGAGTGATGGTTGAGTCATGGCCTCGCTCGCATGAGTGGTGGGGGTTCTCTCTGGATGATCTGGTTTCCTCCCACACGCTGCCAAACACTCTCATTAATTTATTCTGTGCGACGCTGTGGATGTTACACCCCTCCCTCTCCCCCCACCAAGTGTATGGGTTCTCTGTTGTTTTTTTTACTGTTTCTTGTTACCAATGGCGTCCTTGCTCATGCCAAACACACGACTTAGTCAAACAATCCAATGCAGGACACTTATGGAAAAAGCCTCGGGGGGGGGGGGGGGGGGCTCGTCTAGGCTATTCAGGACAAACAATTGGCATTATTATTATAATTTGTTACTATGCCTAACATGGGAGCTTTTTTTAAGAATGCAGCAGCTTTGTGTCGCGTTGTCGCTCCAGTGTATGTTTGGAATTCGAGTGAGACTGTCAATAGACCCCCTCCCCCCCCAGTCTGTCTGTCACTTGGCATTGTACACAGTGACGCAGTCGAGCGGTTACAGAACGCGTTTCCCATTAAACGAGAAGCGACTGTAACACCTGCGTAAATACATCAGTAGCAGAGTGAATGCTATGGCAGCAGACGAATGGGCAGACGATGGAACAACAAAAATGACAGGCGAGTCGAGCATAGGCAAGCAGACAGACCGACCGACAGACCAACAGAGAGGCGGACTGACAGACCAACGTACAGGCAGACCCACCCCAGATGCAAAACGACAGACAGATGGACACGATGAACACTCGACTGGCGAAGAGACGGAGCGACAATTGGGGCAGGCAGACCGACAGACCAAAAAGAGATGCAGAAAGACAAACTAACACAGAGGCAGACAGACAAACAGACATAAAGAAATAATCATAGAACTAAATATAAACAGAAAGACCAACAGAAAGAGGGACAAGTGGGCAAACAATACTTGTATTTAGTAATAGGTTTTACCCTTTTAACTGGCACAAAAACTGACACCTTTATTCAAGGCATCATGTTTGCAATAACCACAACACAAGCAGTCAAAATGTAAACAAAAGAGACAACTCTGATAATAATATGTACTGTCCTTGAATTTGATTGGTCCACACCCGAGACGGCTTTTCTTAGAGCCCTTAGTCTCCACTGGTGTTGGACCAGAAGACGCCAAAAGGCGTACAACTCAAAAACAGCGCACTATCAGAGTATTGAGGGCTCGGGGTGAGCATTTACATTATGAGACCTCTTTTGCCAGTAACAAGATATAGTAATAGGTTTTACCCTTTTAAATGCTTGTATTTATTTCAGTTTTTTTCACCCCAAATAAATTAACGCTACGCCAACCTGCCATGCGCTGATATTTCTACCCACAAATTCTGGCGGCTGGGAGTGCATTGCCCTGTGGCATCATCTGCCCAGGATAGACGGCAACATAGAACCCCTTCTGAAGTCACATCAGGAGAATTTATTTTATATATGCCCTGCACAGTCTGTCCACATGTCAATCAACTCTAAACTCTTTCATAACCTAAAGTTGGAATACAAGTTGGAATGAGCCATATTAACGGGCTTATTAATTTTAATGAGATGCATTATTTTTGGCTAGCAGTCAATGGTAACCGCCTGTGACCAGCGACTCACTGAACTCGACCCCGGTTTAATCACAGCCCGGCCTACATAAGTTTAGGGCAGTGATTCTTAACCTTTATTGCAACCTTGCACCCCCCCCCCCCCTTTGGTTCTCAATCATAAAAAAAACAAAGTAGCTGTACTTACGTGCACGTGCTTAAATTGTGTTTTCGATTATTTCGAAAAAATCTGGCCACGTCTCGCAACCCCCAGAAAGGGCATCTCGCACCCCCTGGGGGTGCAGCGTGCACCCCAGGTTAAGAAGGACCGCTTGTGTCGGGGGTCTCTCTGCGAGTCTGTTGATCGACATGTAACTCAGTGGTGGCAGGGCCGTGACCATCAATGCACGACCACTTGAGAAACCGGTTTAACCAAGGTTGGGGGCTGCTGACACAGCCGGATTCAGAACCCAGGATCCCAGCAGTTCCGGCTCGGCATCCGCGAATGTCAAAGTCATCCCCCCCACCCCCACCCCCACTCAGCCACCGCCACCGTCCTGCTACGCGCTCGCTTGCCTCTTGAGCTGGGAGTTGCTGTAGCTGTCGGGCCCGTCGGGGAAGCAGAAGAGAGGGATGACGTTGCAGAGGTTTTTCTCCTCCTCCCTCATGGCTTTCGTCATGTTCTCGGGCTGCATCGCAGAGACGCACGCGCACACACACACAGCGGGCATTAACAGCGGCACCACTACGAGCCTCCGCCAAACGTGCTAGCCTCCGATTAGCACGGTTGGCTTCGTACGATGCGAAAGAAGTTCAACATACATATACGTACATAGAACCCGGCGGTTTGTGTTTCAATAAGCCCAGTAGCAGACACCGACTAAATTTATCCAGATATGCTGCAAAGACTAATTTAAAAAAATAATTACCAATGACTAAATCACTCAGGAATGCACCCAGATCTCGTCAAATCTCAAAAGCTAAGATGGATAGTGGCCTGGACAGTTCTTGAATGGGCGACCACCGCACATAACCAGTTGAGACCGTCTGTTACGGACTTACGTGGTCATCAAGCCACGCGCCAGTGTGCAAAAAAATCCGTTGTTGTACTGTGCTTCCATGCTCCCGGGGGTGTCTACGCCACCCGCAGGGCCATGTACACTCAACTGATCTGGATTTCGAATGCAGGCAATCGGTGGTGCTGGGTTACCGCACTTCCACAGCCTTTAACGCGCCCTATGTTCTTCTGCCCACCATCTTGCTCACCCCGCGGTGTCAAGTTGCAGAATCGTACCGCCACACGTCCAGCAAACATTCACCCTCCCTCGGCGATTAAACGGATTGTCGCGAATCAGGGTCACGCTGATAGAATATATTTTTTTTCATGATAATAATAATGATGCCATTTGCTTGTCAACTTCATCAGTGGCACTGCCTGTGTGTATCGTTCGTGTTGACTGCCGCCTCTTTCCTGCGTCTCATTCGTTGGGGTTGTTTTGTCAGCTACATTTGCTTAAAAGTTACACATATTATTAGCATATATAATTAGCATACAATTAGCCTCTAGTGGCTGCAGAGGTCACGTGAATCAATTACAACAAGTAAAACCGCCAACTGCCCATTCTCAATGGGTGAATCGTGAGTTTAGGAATCCGTTTTAATTGGCGAATCGATGCGTGGTTTTCATGCTCATTTCACTCTGCTCCCGTCCACGCATGTTCTCCGCTCCGGCAACCAAGGCTTTCTGTCAAAGCCCCCAGTCAACCTCCGCACACCGGAAGGTCGCTCATTCTCCTCTGCCGCCCCCGTCGCCTGGAACTCCCTTCCACCAGGCATCCCCGCGTGCTGTCAACTCGCTGCCCTCTCTGCAAGTCCAGGCTCAATCCCCACTCCTTTTTGCTCTGCTTATGGCCGAGTGCCCATCGCTGCAAAATAAAAAAAATTCCCACTGTTTCTTCCGCAGCGTCGTAAGATTCGTGGTCGCATTTAGATGCTATGTAAATGCAAGTGGTGTTTTAAATGAGTATGAGCAAGTCTCGGTTCCGCAACTCAAGTCTCACTTGAGACTTCCCTGAATTTGCTTGTGAACCCAGAAATGCATTCGTTTGCAAAACCAAACTAAGCAAATGGCTGAAAGTTTGGCAACGTCGGTAATTTTTTTCCACTGATCACCAGTCGCAATCATGACAGCGCAGCAATTTCCGTATGCACCAAACATTCATTAATTATACACGTGCCGCTAGCCATTGGGAGCGTGTAGTCTCATATCATGCATGCCCTGAAAGGGACACTGCCCACTTCAATCGTATAAAATGTGTTTCCCGGCTATTATTTTCAATTGACCACGTGGCTTATTCTTCTCTTCGTGTTCCCAGTGGCGAGCACATCGCCACACTCGCAGGTTGCCTGCCGCGAGATCTCGCGCAGTGCCAGGGGCCCTTCCTTCCTCCGCGCAGTGGCCAGAGCGAGAGGCGTCACGCGCTTGGCCTCTCGTAGCCACGGTCGCAGCAGATGCGGCAGCGGCTCTCTGTTTTTGTGGATCGCCGCCACGTGGCCAGGGGTGGATCCTTGACCTGCCGACCTGGGTGCAGAGGCGGTGCAGTTTTCCTCGTGGTCAACCCCACGACTGCTCCGGCGGGGGGAGTTGTTCGCCGCACGGCCAATTGGTGTTCCCGTCAAGCTACGGGTTCCCTCCAAGGCTTAGAGAAACGAGGGTTCCGCCTCGCGTCTGGGCGTGATGACGCCCAGAGTCTTCCATGATGTCTACGTGTAAAAAAAATATATCCGCCTCATATTTCATTTTGGTTCTTTTTTTTTGCGGCCGAAATTTGAGAATTATTTGGAAATACCTCCTGGTCGTGCCGTGACTGAAAAACTCGGAGTACGTGCTGCGGTGGAGCTCTACCCTCATAAACAAACAAAAAATATTTAGGAAAATGATGGTACGGAGCACCACCTGCCCTCACCACCCATTCTCCAATCTGCACCGACCAGCGTGGTGAAGTATGGCCAAATTATTCGCTGTGAACGGACAAAGTATGGGGTGAGGAGGTCTTCATCTAAATAGTGATTGGACAAAAGGGCTGTAAGAATAATTATTATTATTAACTATTCCAGAATGAAGATATGTCATGCAATTAACAATGCAGTCCCATCAGAACAAGCTCTGAGAACAGAAGCAGCCTTCGTGCATACCACACAATAATGCACGCGTTGTTTTACCGAATGATAATTAACGTAACGAGTAGGGGTGGAGCCAGAATTTTTACTTTGGGGGGGGGCTGACTTCAATATTCTGAGATATCCAGTGTAATGTTTTCCAATGGGCGCCACAAATGTATGACACAAATTTTATTGGATTTGAATGCGGAGTTTATCAATAGGTCGGAGCCGCTGATGTGGCTAATAAGTTCGACACGTTCGAAAGGCTGCCACTCAAGCAGCCTGCAGGGCAGCAGAAGGTGGCAGCCTGCAGGGCAGCACAAGGTGGCAGCCTGCAGGGCAGCACACAAGGTGGCAGCCTGCAGGGCAGCACACAAGGTGGCAGCACAAGGTGGCAGCCTGCAGCATTTTGTAGCAGCCGGATATCCGGTTATCCCGATTACCAACTTTCCTAAAATTTCAGGGGGGGCTGAGCCCCCCCAGCCCCCCCCTGTGACTCCGCCTCTGGTAACGAATAAGTTTTCGGACAGGTGGCATGGCATCAACCCAGCTAAAGGTAAGAGACACAAACAAAAACCCATCTCTGCATTTTTTGGCTATCCGACACGGGCAATAACAATGCAAATTTCGCAATAAGTGTGTGTCTTTGCTTTTGTAAGTGAATGTGTGTCAATAAATGTCTGTAAATAAAACAAAAGGTCAAATTGACTTCTTCAAATGACCTTTGAGGTATTGGTGCTCATCTCTTTGTAGCCCAGAGCCATCGGTGGATATTCCACGTTCCTATGGCGAGTCTATCCATACGACAACCACTTGTGGGCAACCACAAAACAGTTCTTATTTTATCGACCCCAGAGAAAGGATGATGGGTTGAGTTAACCAAGCCCCACTCCAGCCAGAATTTGAACTCGCAAATTTACAGATACGAGATGTTCATTTTACCATGAAGCCACCAGGCCGGTTATATAACACAATAAATAAACAATGTCTCCTTCGTGTATCTGTCTCATTACATAATAAAAAAATATATTTCTTACACAACCCATCAGCCACACGGCCTTCTGGGAGTGGATCATTTCAGCAGCATTGTTTGAAGACAAGCAAACACTGGTTTCAACACGCAATATCTCATCAGTAGAGTCAGACTCGCTTGAATCAATGCTGGTGAACTCCTGATCTTACAGGCAAGGACCCTCTGTGTACAGTATGGGGTCCTAGTGTGATGCAAAATTACGTGTTGGAGTAAATGACTTAAAACGATCATTTGCGCAGTTGTGGACAATGTAAATAACAAAATAATTAGGCCGACAATATTTCCTTCACGCACCGTTCTCTCAACAGATAGAACAAAAATATCGCTTACTCATTATCGCTGTTTAGGCATGTTTATGGATAGATGTACATGTACACATACCGGTCTACCCGTAAATACAACTGCGTATTTCTAACCGTAAGTATGCAGCAAGTAGCGACACGCATTCACGGTTGCGATTCTACGCGGGAACGGACGGTAACACGACTCTCGCGTGGGCACCCTCACCCGAACCTTCTTACCTTGGGGAACTGGTAGGTGATCTCTGGGACAGAGACGGGGCTGCCATCCCTGCCGGCCTTCAGGGACACGATGACGATGTACTGGAAGAGCTCGCGGTCTTGGAACTCTATGAGATCGAGCTCCAGGGTGCGGCGCACGGAGCTACCTACGCGCACACGAGGCACGGAATCGCGGCATCACGTTGCGCGACACATGGCGTATCCACACCCTCTCCCCCCCCTCCCCCCCGCCGCGGGATTGCGAGGGACGCAACGGTGATCCGAATAGCATCGCCGCGTCCCCGGCCGGGATCCAGAACGCGCGGCACAAGCTCCGTGCGCGACGCGAATTTCAATGTTGAAGTGGCGCAGGGCGAACTTGTGGGATTCAAGCAGCATGCCCAACAAACACACCGATTAGGGAGTCCACCACCACCACCACCACCAAACTGCCTTGCTGCCGCAACACACGGCTCATCGGCGAGCCCGTCGCCACACTGCCAGGTTCCCATCTTACACAAACAACCGAAGATGCGGCGGACACCGATCGCTACAAGTGGACTGCTCCTGCGAGCACCAAACCCATGGACCACGTCGTAACGTTGCTCCGGCCCCAACCATGAATGTGAAAGTGCGGTGTGTGTGGGTGGCCGTATGCGGATTTCACCAACCCACAGACAAAGCAACGAATGATGGATGCTGAATCACTCAGAATTTAATCTCCAAAAATTGCTGTTCGCTGGCCGTTCAAGGTCATCGTCATGAGGTCACACTGTGCAGGACGTTGCGTATCCAACTCACTGGGGAACCGTGGTTCACGCAGTTCATTTCAGCCAGAATGGTCCGGAACTCTGCTCCGAGAATTATTTTGACACGCCATATAATTCTCGCAGTAGTTTATCCTAAACCTTGTTTGTAGGATCATAGCAAAGTTTGGTTACAAAAATGTAGTATTACAGTATTAAGGGTATGCATACCTTGCACTGTACTCCAATGGTAGTGCCTTATGCCAATAAGCCCTACCCGCTAGCCAGTTTAGCAGCAATAATAATGCAAGTATTTGGGTTAGATCGGGTAAATATATAAATGTGTCGTTAAACCCGCCACCACACGACACGGCCAACTAGTAAGCCTACGTGTTAAACTAGTAAGGGTTGTCACGTAAACAGAGCGTGCCAATTCGTCACTTGTACAAAAATTAAGCGCAAATCGTTTGAAGCACGGGGAAGAGGTTCGTCGTCGCCATGCTCTAGAGGTCGGTGAATGTCCGTGGAACTAAAAACAGCATTACTCCGTGCGAAAAGGCCACGGTTGTGAACGTCTGTAAGTAAATGGCAGTCGCACGTTGCACTGGGTGTGGGTGGTTTAATCTGTCAGGGTGGATAAGTCGTGGTTGACTACGGAGACGTCGTTACTGTACGCATCTTGCTCAGTCTACAGAACTGGGCGCGGTGACACACGCCTGTGGGAGGCGAGGGTTGGTGGATCATGAAGAGATTTGTGAAACTCCCAAACCCGCTGGGCTGCACGCTAGCTGGCCATGAGATGGTAGCACAGCAAGCGGGTTCATTAACCTGTCTGTTGCGGACTTTCAAACGTTATCCCTTTGTACGTGTGGTGGATTTAACGCACGCACTCTGCTTACGACTCAGTGCGGCTCTCCAGGCTAAATATTTGGCATTTCAGTTTCATTAGCAGCAGCAGCAGACATTAGGCTGACGTTTTAGGCAATTGCTGTCAACAGCAGATGTGTTTTAGATTTAATTTTACCGTGGACAAAATCGCTAGAAGAAACACGCAGCACATTGCGTACGTTTAAAGAGCTGAAGAGTGCATTACCATAGCATGTATAGATCGTCCATATTTAACTATTAAAACGCTAAAAAGCAGTCATTCAGAGCCATCTGTCAATCTGCTGCTGGTACCCCACACATAGCAAGCTCATCAGCGTCTCAGATTTACATCGCGGAGGAGCGGTGGCATAGTGGTTAGCGCACTGAACAAGAGTACCGTACAGCAGTGGCGAGTGATATCTGAAGCGGTCTTTTGCCCACCCACAAAATTAATCATTTACCAAACCCGCACTGACCAGCGGAGTGGTGAAGTATGGCCAAACAACCCTCGGCGTGGGAAGACCTTCGCACCCGACGATGGATTAAACCGAGGGCTGTGAGCGAGTGCAATTACATAAGACGCAATGTATATTATTATGCAGGACTGAGATAATGACACAAGACACGCACCTCCAAAGAGACGACGTTCCATTGCTCGCTCAGGGTGCAAATCTCATTCCTCGCTCGTGAGTAGAAGTACTTGCCGGTGTTGCAGAGTCGTTTTCTCTACTAGTCCTCGCTATACCCAGACCATTCAGTACACTTTGAAGGACGAATCATAACGACCTAAAACGACAGCGCGCCGCTACTCTCTCGTGGCTCTTAAAAAAGACAATTAACCTTTTTCGAACGTTGCCTAGTTACTGGAGAATAAACACGCGCGCATGTAACTATATAGACGACGCTACCCTCCCTCCCCCCGCGTCTCCACAACGAGCGATTTATTTCACTCGATTGGCGAGGCTGCCTGGGTGAAAAGAAGAGGCGGAAGAGCGCGGGGCAGACTTCCCGCAAGCATCTTCGACGGTCATCAGCATCAGCAGCAGCATCAGCAGCAGCAGCAGGCTCTCTCCTTGAGGGTTAGAGACGCGGTGGGTGAGGTGGGCTGAGTGGGTGCCTTGCGTGAACGAGGTGTGGCCAGGTGAGAAGGGGGCTCTCTCTCTCACCTGTCTTTGGCAGCGTGTGAGCCTCACGCACGTCAGCCACGTCATCTGCCGCACGGCCAATGGGGGGGGGGGGGGGGGGGTAAGCCACGCGAGCCAAGCGGAACAGACACGCAACAAGAAACAAAAAACACCAAAGACAAAGATGACCCGTGTAGGCTTAGCAGGCTGTAGGGGCAAGTGCAATAGCCGGCATCGGCACACGAGGGAGTGGGTGGTTGGCACCACGCCCGGCCGCCTTTGTCTCCCTGTACCGTTGCCGCTCTGCCGTGATGTGCACAGATGCCGGCTTTGTATGTATGCGTGTTGTTGAACTTATTTCGCACCATACGTAGCTAACCGTGCTAATAGGAGGTGCAATATTGGCGAGTACAATAAAAAAATGATGGATTGAGTGGCAATGTCTACAAACTGCACCAGACGCCCCATTTATGGCTGAGTCGACCTACACCATACACACCACACCATACATAACACACAACAAAACACCATACATAACACACCATACATAACACACCATACATAACACCATACATAACACACCATACATAAACACACAACAAAACACCATACATAACACACCATACATAACACACCATACATAACACCATACATAACACACCATACATAACACACCATACATAACACATCATACATAAACACACAACAAAACACCATACATAACACACCATACATAACACACCATACATAACACCATACATAAACACACAACATAACACCATACATAAACACACAACATAACACCATACATAACACACCATACATAACACACCATACATAACACACCATACATAACACACCATACATAACACACAACATAACACCATACATAACACACCATACATAACACCATACATAACACACCATACATAACACACCATACATAACACCATACATAAACACACAACATAACACCATACATAACACACCATACATAACACACCATACATAACACACCATACATAACACACCATACATAACACACCATACATAACACACAACATAACACCATACATAACACACCATACATAACACCATACATAACACACCATACATAACACACAACATAACACCATACATAACACACCATAGATAACACCATACATAACACACCATGCATAACACCATACATAACACACCATACATAAACACACAACAAAACACCTTACATAACACACCATACATAACACACCATACATAACACACAACATAACACCATACATAACACACCATACATAACACACCATACATAACACACAACAAAACACCATACATAACACCATACATAACACACCATACATAAACACACAACAAAACACCTTACATAACACACCATACATAACACACCATACATAACACACAACATAACACCATACATAACACACCATACATAACACACAACAAAACACCATACATAACACCATACATAACACACCATACATAACACACAACAAAACACCATACATAACACACCATACATAACACACAACAAAACACCAAACATAACACACCAAACATAACACACCATACATAACACACCATACATAACACACCATACATAACACCATACATAACACCATACATAACACACAACAAAACACCATACATAACACACCATACATACCACACCATACATAACAGACCATACATAACACACAACAACACACCATACATACCACACCATACATAACAGACCATACATAACGCACCTTGCACGTAAGACACCACGCCCAACACAAATGTGTGTAATTGAACCATGCAATGATGAATGGCTCCGTCGAAAGAGGTACATTTCAACCAGGGTTGCCAGACGTTAAACATTACCGGTTATACCGGTAAACCGGTTTACCGTTTTCCCGAATCGCCTACCGGTACAGAAAGGCAGTAACCGGTTTCCTGTGGAAATTCATTCGCGATTACGGGCAGTCCTCGGTTTACGAACCTAATTCGTTTCCGAAAAGTTATTAAGTCGAACTGTTCACAAGTCGGAACACAACAATGTACTATTTTTAAATGCCCATACGGTGAGTGTCATGAAATGTGTTACGGTTCAAACAAGGAAAGCATTGTTCAACTCATCATTAAGAAGAAATATTGAACCCAAATACTGTATAGTAAACACAACCTTAATTAAAGTAACATCAATAAAAAACACAGTTCTATTTTCACTTACCTGGAGTCCTAATGCGAACTTGTAGTCGGAAGGGGGCAGCGAGTAATCACAATGGTACACACACACAGGGCACAAAACAAAAACCATACACACACAAAGACCCCCTTCGAGCCTTAACAAACTGTAGGGGCAAGTGCTGTTAGCGAGCAAGCACTTATGAAGGCCGGCACGGCACACGAGGGTGTCGGTGGCCAACACCACGCCGGCCGCCTTTGTCTCCCCCAGCGGCGATGTTTACTACACACCGCACGGGGTACCGGTGTTGGCCGTGAGCAAGAGTGGAACTCGGGTCGCCGGTTTCGGAGTGCTGGTTGGTTTCGTAGCGCAGCGCGCTACCCGCTACACTACCGCTGCCCACAGTCCCACACACTCACTATCGCACGCACACACTCACACTATCGCACGCACACACTCACACTATCGCACGCACACACACGCACACCAGACGCACACACCACACGCACACACCACGCGCAAGCACCTGCGGAGGAGAGCTGCTCTGGTCCTCCGCAAGGTTCAGTTTGCAATTTGTGAGTTCACGTTTTAAATCAAGATTGTTTTTATTTCACGGAAGCTGGTTCGTAAGTCCGGGTGTTCGGAAGTCTAAGACCGCCTGTACCCCGTCGAAAGAGGCACATTTCAACTTGGGTTCCTATAGATAAACATCACCGGTTGTACCGGTAAACCGATAACCGTTTTTAGTATCGCCTATCGGAATTGGTTGCCTATGAAAGAAAGTTCATTCACGATTACATCGATTGGCATTTGCGAACGCACAAACGCCACAGCGGCCCAAGTCAGTCACGGCGTGGTTCGCGTGACCTCTCGTCTCAGTTAAAAAGCGAAAGGCGCGGCCCTGCAATTGTTTGCTAGCTTGCTTACGCCACTGCTGGCAGTAGGCCTCCACCAGAGGAGGGAGCTCTAGAGGGTATTTTGCTTTACTGATCCCATGCTGACCGGACAGACGACTTCGGAGAGGTATGGCACGTACTCACACTTTACACCAGTGGTTCTAAACCTTTACTGTAGCCTTGCACCCCCCCCCTCCCCCCATGGTTCCCAATCGCTACAAATGTACGTTAATAAATGCATAGGGCTTTATGTAACATAATAGTTGTGATAAACGTTTTTGGATTAGATCGCGTTATTTAGAAATGTGTCGTAACCCTCCACCACCCGATACGGCCAATTAGTAGAAAAAAAAGGTCACGTTGACAAAAGACACATAGTTCACTACTTTAGCCCACCAGTGTGTTGAAGAGTGAATCAACAACATTTACAATTTATTCAACACACCGGTGGGCTAAAGTAGCAAACTATTTGTCTTTTGTCAACGTGACACTTTTTTTTCTGATTGGCCGTGTCGGGTGGTGGAGGGTTACGACACATTTATAAACAACGCGATCTAACCCAAAAACTTTTTTTATGAATAATATTGGTCGCGAAAGCCTCCGACGTGTTAAATAATAGTTGTACTTGCGTGTCCGTGCTTAATTTGTGTTTCGATTATTTACCTTCTAAAAAAAACACCTGGCCGTGTCTCGCACCCCCCGGAGAGGGCATCTCGCACCCCAGGTTACACCAACGCACACGACCTGCCGGTCGACGAAATCGTGGTGTACTACGTATCCATACTGTTCGGTGGTGTGTGGTGGGGGGTATAGATGAAAAAAAAAAACATGCCCCGTTGTTTCAACTGCCGCGCCAGGAGATGGATTCGAAACCGGCATAACCGACGTGCTCCAAACCTTTTTTTTACTTTCAACTACCAGGGAAAAAGTGCGACTTATAATCTGCAGAATACGGGCTACTATTCGAGGGCACATATTAAGAGCGGCGCGGAACTACGCACTTGCCCCAGCAGTCTGTGTAAGGCGAAAGCAAGGGGGATATTTGTCTGTGTTCGACATGTGTGTGTGCTAAAGAGTCATCCACCAACCTCGCCATGTGTCGAGCTGGGTGCCTGGATGGTAACTTGACCGCCTCCTGAAGCTTCGACGAATGAAATTTGAGACACTCATCTGAATTTGAAAGATACATTTTTGTTGTTGTTTATAAACATGACATACTTCTAAACAAGTACTGTAACACAAACGAACAAAATGCAAAATAAGCAACAACACAACAAAAATCTTGCAGGCGAAGTCGCTGGTAAATTAAATAAATAATACACTGCCCCCTTAGCCAATCGACTGCTGGATGGAAGACGCCTCTCCGTGACTGAGCACATTGACCACTGCTTAGTGTGTGACGAGTGCAACTCGGTCAATGAAGGTTGCGCGTGTGATGTGTGCAGCCATCCACCGGTTCAGATGTCACGGGTCGGCTGTGGTCTGGAATCGAACCCAGATAGCCGGGGTTCATGAACACAGTGCGCCGACCACTGCGAACTCCTCAACCACCCACCCCCTGTTCGCTGAGAATTGTAACGCACACAAAACATGAATCCTGCATCCCAACTCGAACGGAAGTAATGTGCCCCAGAGAGCAACAAAAGGACCCAGCGTATCGTTGTTGAAGAGCACACAAAAGCCAGCTCGGCTGCATCTCTCACCCCCTGGCAACGGGCGGACAGAAGAGAAGAATGGAGGAGGCATAGAATTTGCCAACCGGACCTCTACATTGCACTCCACACAGACAAAAAATTCCCCCCCCCCCCCCATCCCACCCCGCGTGCAGCCTCCACAGCTTGTCGGGTAAAAGTGCTGTTAGCGAGCCCCAATAAAGGCTGGTACGGTCTACGGGCGAGTGGATGGTGTGCCCGGCCTTGTTGGTCTCTTCTCCCGTGCACGAGTTTACTCATTCGAGGCCGAGTCTACCTACGGGAGGGCACACGGCCGGTTCTGATATCACTTACCCAGTGGTGTGAGCAGCTGTGGCCTGATATTAAACTGGGGTCACGGGTGCGGTGCTCTGACCACTGCGCCACCGCTGCACAACCGTGCACACGGCATGTGTTTGCCTCGATTCGAACTCGGGTCACAAATCAGCCACGAGCTTTCTTTCCACAGCAGGTGTTGATCCGATAATACGGATAAATTTGATAAATAAGTGCACAAATGTACAGTGGAACAGCCTTGATAAATAATAATGAGCATGTATAAGCAGAACCGCGTTTTTATCTGCACAAAAATAAAATTATGGTTTGGTCTATTGGCCATCCAGATGGACGAATCATAATATTATTGGTCTGCCAAATATTACAGGCCTATTATAATACTGGCCTGGAAAGCCAACAGGGTTGATGGACTTAACACAGACAAATCTTTAACTCGGTTCAGTTATACTTGTGCTGATTAAAACGCGTTTTAACACAATTCTCCAGAGCAACATCATAATGAGTTTGCTTTAATAATTTGAATCCCTCCCTCGATCCACTACTCAATGACGGATCTCCAAGTCGTCGCATACTGTTATCGCCCGTGTACAACAACTGTATTGAAATACATAGCAAAAACATTTATTTTTGAACAGCCCACTACTTACGCATCTTAATCATAAAAAAAATATTTAAACTTTAAAACGCGCCACCGCACAGTATTCGCTCACCGTTTAAGAGACAGAGAGATCGACTCGGAGGAGGCACGCGGAGGAACCACAGACTAGCGGAAAAGGCAGCAGCCATGATTACTCCACTGCTGGATTAAGGCCTCCTCAAGTCCGAGCCTTTCATCATAAACTTTCTTCGAAGACACTCTCGTGGCCAGCAGACCTCGACATTTGTACAGTATTTCAGAATATTGCCATAAGCAAGAAGACAATTGACCAACACAGGCACGATGGTCGAGTTTATAGAGCCACCTGGCGGACAGAGCGCAGTATTGCAGACATTGCTACTCTCCTGTTACATTTCAAATGTTTGGAGTTTTGACCGAGAAATTTCATTTGTTTTCAGACAATGATGATTACATTTGACTGGAGGCGCTATCCAGTTATTCGCAATCGAATGCCAATTAATACAAATGTAATCATATGATAATCATTTAAAATACGAGGGGGTTCAGTTTTCTCTAAGCTCAGTGGGGTGGGACTGAATGAAGCTTGAAATGCCATCTCCCCACATTCTCAAACCTCCACCGTTTGCGCTCCGGTCAATGGACGAATCTCATGAAAGAAAAGCGTCAGATAATGGACACAAATCACGAAAGTCACCATAATCACCATTAGCACGACCTTATAACAGAAAAAATGAAGTAGGAACAAACAGGAAAATATACCACTGATGAAACTTTTTGGGCTCCTTCAGAGAGATCTCACTATACGGTGTGGTGCCTTTGAAACGACAGAACATTTCCAGAGTTGGCTTCAAGAGGTGGCCAGGCAGCTGAGCGGTCAGAGTGCTGAGCTGGCACAACTCAGACCCTGTAATTAATCTGGGTTCTCATGTTTAATGAGTTGAGGGTCTCAGGCTGGTTCACTCGTGACAGCAAAAAAAGCCATATAATTTAATTTTGCTCTGCACTTAATTTCGCCAAATTACCAGCATTAATTCTTCGTCTCATGCCATGACACGGATAGCACAATCGGGGATAAATTAAAAAAAATGTTTGTACACGTGTCATTACGTCTTTGCTTGGTGTCCGTTGATACCCTGGACACCTTTGTAAAATCAAATGTTCCACCTTAATGAATGATCCCAATGGGAAAAGCCATTCCGATTTACACAATTTCTTTTACCAGTGTTTTTTGAAGAACACATCCCTTTCGTAAATCAAGGGAAACCTGTATTGGTTAATAATTCACCCACCTCTGCTGCTGATGTGGAACTTTATCACGTGTGGGCTATAGTGCTTTCATGACGAAGGACTGCCTGAACAATACTTTACTATCAATGGGATCCGGTATGGGTTTAAATAAAAAAAAAGTTTTTATCTCACCTAGAATAAGAATTCAAAGTCATCTGTCACTCCACTGCTTTCATTAAGGAATAACATGAGGCCCCCCTGTTAGATTTCCCCCCATCTCTTCGTGGGCGGCAGTCTTGTGCAGTGGTAACACTCGTGCCTCGCTGCCACAAGGGCCTGGGTTCGATTCCCGACTCGG